TACCACCGTACAAAAGGGATTTCCACGAGAGGTCCTGCCACATCACCGATGTCCACTCCAACCACTTGCCTTGCATCTGAAGAGTCTTCAGCCTCAAAATCTGCTCCTGGGCGTTGATCTCCTCAAATGTTTGAAGGAGATGCTTCCTCGGGGGTTTGGAATGCTGCTTCGGAGCACGAGCACCCAACCCTGCACGATGACTTGAAGATGACGGTGGACGGAGAGTCCCTGAACCTGCTGATGCCTCTGCACACTCCAGCTCTATTGTCGCCGCATATCGCTTTGTCAGCTTCGCATCCTTACTCCGACGCAGAGTGTACAGCGCCCTCATGCGCGCGTCCCCACTCGATCGAAGAATGTGCCATTTGATGGAGTGGCACTCTTTCCACACCGTAGGAAGGTAGTGGAGGCGTAAGCCAAAGCGTTTGCGACTGCCAATAAAAAGAATGGCAGAGTTTGCGCATCGAGGTAGGCCTGACCATTTCTTCAGAAATGGTGAACACATAAAGTGCAGTTCACGTACAAAACCTTGTGTGAGTTCAAGAACCTGGAAAGACCAAGAAAGCTTGGGCACTACAAGATGGTGGTAAAGCCATAGCTTGTGGTGGTCTTGAAGCCAAGAGCCATCTACTTTTTGCTTGAGAGATACAGTGAGTTGACGGATGTCTTCCCGCTGGGTCTGCTCAGAGCAATCGGCATGCAGCCTTCGCCCCAGGAACTTGAACTGAGAGAGAGAGAGAGAGAGAGAGAGAGAAAGAGAGAGAGAGAGAGAGAGAGAGAGAGAAAGAGAGAGAGAGAGAGAGAGAGAGAGAGAGAAAGAGAGAGAGAGATTGTTGAACGCTTAGTCATATTTTGATCGATGACGATGTCCTTGCTCGAGTATTTCAGCAAAGCGAAGCGGAAAAAGGTAGACGTGGTAGAGAGTTCTGACTCTGAAACTGTTGAACCTGGAGACTCCCGAGTCCGAGTCGAGTGCCCAAATTCCTTTTCCCAGTATTCCGAGTCAAGTGTCTGCAGCTGCTCCCGTTGCTTCTTTGATCTCCAGCGTGCCGTCTCCAGCTGTACCTGTTGCTTCTTCTACCTCCAGCGTGCCATCTGCAAGCTGCAACGACGTTGGCCACTACATCAACGAGATTGCCAAGGGCGTGCAACTGGCAGATGACGACAAATATTGCCTGCTGAGGCAGCACTTCTCGCCGGACGCTCGCTACGCGTTCCCAAGACACGATGGCCGAGCGTTTCAGCATCGCTGGCTTCAAACCTACCAGCCCTGGTTGGTGTTCAGTGCCACCTGTGGTGGCGGCTTCTGTTTGCCCTGCGTGTTATTCGCTCGCTCATATCGTGGGTCATCGCTGGGTGTATTTGCCAGGCGACCACTGATGAATTTTCGAAAAGCTTTGGAGTTGCTGGATGACCACATGACGAAGCAGTTCCACCGGGACGCAATAGTACGAGCGGATGGATTCTTATCTGTAATGGATGGAAAGAGAGAGAATGTCATCCAGCAAACCAACACAGCGCTTGCAGACAAAGTGGCAGTCAACCGCAAAAAGCTGACCTCTATCATCAAAGTCATTCTGCTATGCGGACGCCAGAACTTCCCCCTGCGTGGACATCGTGACGCTGGCACTGATGTTGAGTCCGACGGTGCTGCTCACCATGGGAATTTCTGGGCTCTCGTGGATTTCCGCGTCGATGCTGGTGATTCGTGTCTTGGCGAGCACTTGTCAACTGCTCCTGCCAATGCCACGTACATGTCTGGCGACATTCAGAACCAGCTTGTCAGCATCATTGGTGATCACATCACACGGCAAATTGTTGCAAGAGTGAAGGCAGCGAAATTGTTCACGGTCATCGCAGATGAAGTAACAGACGTGTCCAATAAAGAGCAGCTTGGACTCGTGATTCGCTATGTGGAGGCATCCAGTAGAATTGTTCGAGAGGACTTCGTGACGTTCGTCGAGTGCGATCAAGGTGTTACGGGTGAAGCACTTGCCAAGGTTATAGTTGAAGCTATCCAGCAGCTTGGCCTTGACCTAAGCAACATGCGGGGACAGTGTTACGACGGCGCTTTTAACATGTCAGGAGCAACTAAAGGAGTAGCTGCACGGATTGCACAGAGCTACCCTCTTGCCCTGTACCTGCATTGTGCTTCACACTGTCTGAACCTGGTGGTTGTGTCGTCGCTGCAAGATAATATGGTCCGCAACATGATGGGTGTTGTGGACAGGGCGTTGGTCTTCTTCAACGCGCATCCAAAACGACAGACTGCTCTGGAGCATGCAGCGTCAGCCACGCAGCCTGACACAGCCAGCCAGAAGGTGAAGGACCTGTGCAGGACCAGATGGGTACAGCGGTTAGACGCATTAGAAGCATTCCTCAACCTCCTGCCCTCCCTCGTGGTATGTTTCCAAGAGATTTCCGAAGCGCCTGCTGCTGCATGGTCCCGAAATTCACTCATCGATGCCAAAGGCCTCCTCTCCCGGGTTACAACCACAGAATTCGTGAGTGCTCTGGTCATCACTAACAAGTGCCTTGGCTATGTGCGTGGGATAACGTCTAGCCTCCAGTCGGAAGCCAGGGACATCGCTCATGCCATGGCAGATGTCCACACAGTGCAGGAAACACTCGAGAAGGTACGTGCTGATGTGGACAAGCACCACGGGGATTGGTTCAAGGTGGTGGAATCGACGTGTGCCAAGATGAACGTCAACCCATCTGTTCCGAGGTCATGCGGCAGGCAGACACACCGGGACAATGTTCCAGCTGACACACCATCCGAGTATTACAAGCGGTCGATCAGCATACCTCTCCTGAACCACATGGTAGGAGAGATGAAAAGCCGCTTCACAAGCCATCATCGAACTGCTCTCCAGGCGTTCTGTGTGGTACCTTCGATCCTGCTCTCGTCGTCAATTGCCGAAGCAAACACAGCCATCAACAAGTTGGTTGGGACGTATTCCGTTGACTTCCCATCCGCAGCCAGTGTGGAGAGTGAGCTGCATTGCTGGCACACCAAGTGGTCGAATGTTTGGAATGAGCATGGCGAGCCTGCTATTCCTACCTCGGCTGCCCTGTCATTACCTCACGCCAGCCAGATGTTTCCCAACATACGTGCCATACTGCAGCTGCTCTGCACTCTTCCCGTTACGTCCTGCTCATCCGAGCGTTCATTCAGTGCTCTGAAGAGGATCAAGGATCGCGAGAGGTCAACGATGGGCAATGAGCGCTTGACCGGCCTCGCCCTGCTGCACATTCACCATGATATCCCAGTGAGCATCGATGCGGTCATAGATGAGTTTGCGCGGCGCCATCCAAGGCGGATGCACCTGACAAACATCTTCGCCACCGCACCTCAAGCTGCTGCACCAGATTCAGCTTTAACTGTGGGTTCTGACTTGATTTCCAGTCACCAGTCAACTGCATACTATTAATTTTGCTTGCTCTAAATACATCATTAGTATCGGATATCTACTCCCAAACTATCACTTTAATAATAGCATAGTATACAGTACACTAGCTGTCACACAGAAGAGGCCCAAATTTGTATTGAATGTTTTCGCTCTATTCACATCATGACGATACATAGAGAACAGTCGACAGTGCAATGCAAATGTGTAATTATATAGATTGTTGGAATGGGGAGCTGGAGACATTCATAATTTATAAATTCAAGGTGTACACCGCACTAGCATGCATATACAAGATTCTTCAAAAGAACGTTTATGGAAGAAATTATGGGCACCCCCCTAAACCATGATCCTGGCTACGCCCCTGGAGCGCGGGCTGCGACACTTGGGAAAAAGGAGAAAACACATGGGAACGAGTTATGAAACAATTATCCACGACTGTAACGAGATGATAAGCAGTCGGAAAGTGCGATCCAGGGAACAAAGATGACAGGCTACTGAGATATTCAACAACCTGAGACCTAGCTCTAATTTTGTCTTAGTAGCCTGTCAGTTGTGTGCCCTGTTGTCGCACTTCCTGGCTTCTTATCATCTTGTTACAGTCGTGGATAGTTGCTTCATAACTCGTTCCCATGTGTTTCCTTCTTTTTTTCACAGCTACTACTGGCTCACTATCCGAGTTAGATTTACTGGTCTTCATACTTAGGAAATTCCACATTTTCTCTCACTCTCTCTCTCTCTTCCCTCCCCCCCCCCCCCCCCCCTCTCCCTTCTGTACATCTAACAACATGGGTTTCGACTATGAATCAACACACGGGACTATAGTACCTGAAACTATACTAGTTTTGACCCCGAATTCGGCACTTCCATGTCATCCATGGTCTACCCAAACCACAATCACGTCTTGACCCGCAAGACCGGACCAGCAATGCCATAATTATGCCAGCGTGCGCAAATCAGCTTTTCCCCTAGTGTGCCTGGAATAGACAGCCCGGTAGTGAAACCCATGTCATTTCATGTTCCAGTAGCCCATTGTGTCTCCTTAGATGCTACGATTAGCTGGTAAAATCCTACTTGGAAAATTGAGTTACCTGAATGGACCACAATGAGAAGATGGCCGAGCTCTAAAGAAACAAAACAAACAATAAAACAAGGACATTCAGCATCGACTGCATCTCTTCCTTCCAATCTGCCTCGCCACGTTAAACTTCTCAAGGAAAAATAACAACTATCACTCGTAAAGTGTAACTGTTCAGGCTTTAAAGTGGCAGCCAACACACGCTGAATACAGGATGTGGCCAAAATGCATATCTTCGGGCGCACCACCCTACTCCGTATCCTTAGTACATTGTAGGCAGTCTACTCACTCGAATGCGACAATGCCGATTGGTATGAGTGCGAGGCACAGTACCAGAAGTAACAGTCCATTGAAGAGTTGACTGTTGCGATAACCCTTGTAAGGCTTTGTAGAGGGTATCATGAACCAGAGCAGTGCCCACTACAGCAGCCAAATACAACACAGGTACAAATATGACAATCACCACTGAATTGGGAAAAAAGATCCCCCTGTGACACTTTACCCCCCCCCCCCCCCCCCAGTGAAGCAGGAACAGGTATACAAATACCCCCCCCCCCCCCCCCCCACTGCCATGTCGCCCTATATAATTTCTACATCAATGTCAAAAAGCACTGGCTAATATGATAAAATATCAATTATCAACAAGAAAAGTCTGATTCCATGCAGGAAAAAGAGGGACCAACAAGTTGCAGAAATGGACGATTACAGAGAGAGAGCGAGAGAGAGAGCGAGAGAGAGAGCGAGAGAGAGAGAGCGAGCGAGTGAGAGAGAGAGAGAGAGAAAGAGAGAGTAGAAAGTTTCATACAGCGAAGTTTTCACAATAACATCAGGGGCGTCAGAAGGCTTTTTTGGGTAGTACGGTCATGCATGTGCCGTTGGCGGAGTACTCTGGGGTTGGGGCCTGGTGAAATTTCCCGAAATTTAGAGCCCCAATTAGCGCATTGTATTGTTTCACAGGGTAGCTGGGGCAAAGAATGGTACAGAACCTGGACATCGAGTGATAAATGACTTACTTTCTTGATGTAGAAGAAGCAGAACAGTGACACCACACCAATTGCCGGCAAGACGGGCGAGAAGAAGAAACCAAGCCTGGTACGAAGGGCGGGATGGAAGTCAAAGGGAGACATCTGCATCCGGCTATTACCATGATTTAAAACCATAACCCACCTTGCCAGCACCCATGATTTCTAGACCATACTCCCACCCTGCCATCACCCGTGATTTTAGAGGATATCCCCATGAACTGGTCAGTCGGGTCGCAGGTGCTATCATCACAATGTCCATGCACTTATCTCCAGGGGTGCAACACACCAACACAACCAACAGCTACAATCTACTACTGTAAGTCTACACTTTTTCCCTGCATTTAAAAAAATGTCAGCCTCCGAGCGCTAAAACACATGCCGGCCACATTAAAAGTTTCAGCCTGTACTGCCCCTGGCTGTATACACTGTCATACTGAACCTTGCAAACCAAATTTTCAGCCACCAGTAAATTGGGCCTCGAAAGCCAAGGCCAAAGATAGCTGAAATTATAATTATGTATATATGCGCCGAACACCCATAGATATCACCTTGGAATACAAGCAACCAGTGTTGTCTGCGCCACCTACCAGATAATCATCTGCGTGTAGAGTAGATCCAGGACGTTGCGCACCAGGGGAAAGTTTGGGGGACCAATGGTGTTATGATACCAATCCCACTTCGAGTACATCAGTCTAAAACCAACCAACCAAAACAAACAATTTATCTATCTGGTAAAAATCATACTTTTTAGAAGAATACCAATAGACTTTGGCCTTTGGGAAATTCCTGACAAATAATAATTATCACTGAAAATCCCATGGCCTCATCTCCAATCCAAGGTTTCAGATTCAGCTGGCAAGGGTATAATATGCTGAGTGCCAGTATGGACATTGATGAGATGATAACCGGGTGCATGTGCGATCAATTCTAGGTCTGAATCCCAGAAAATATTGACATACAGAAGCAAGCGCACGTACGCGGGCACACACCTCAGACCTCAGACATGCCCATTGTGGAAGCGATGATAGCGAACAGCTATGTTAGACATAGCAACTTGTGCTGGGATTACACCATTCAACAGCTTGCAAGGCTGATGAATTGACCGCCACTATTTTTAGCCTGGTATCCACCACACAGCTGTTTGAAGTGACTTTTTCTGGCCAGTGAATCCCTATTTTTCATTTTTCCAATTGTTTCTACACACACACCACACCACATACTCCGGCATACACTGGCTGTTGGTAACCACCCAGGAGAATGAAAGAAAAGTCAGGAAGAGTCCGAGAAAGAGAAGAAAGACGTGTGCGACCATAATCGTCGGGAATTGAACCCGCAACCTACACACACACACACACACACACACACACACACACACACACACACACACACACACACACACACACACACACACACACACACACACACACACACACAACACACACACACAAACACACACACACACACACACACTTGTCACGGGAATAAACCATGAAAACTTAGGACGAGAACATAGTACAATGAAAGTGGTGCCGAAGACATGGCACTCTAAAATGTGCACCTGTCCTACTACTAGGATACACACCTCTGTCCCAGTCCTCCGAATAGTGTGGAAAAGAGCACTATCAGATAGTTGAGCACGGCCAGCTGGTAAAATTCCTGGCCAACAGACAACTCCCAGCACTACAGCAGAGCATGGTACATGGTACAGGACACAGTTCACTAAAAGGTACAGGACGCAGGTGATTATGGTGCAGGTCACAGTTGATTATTGAACCGGAACCAGTTATGGCACATTATAGCATTGCAGTAGGAGGTAGGAAGGTTGTCACACACCTTCCACAAGCTGCTGCTACCCAATAGACCATGGCTTTACCCATTAGACCATTGTCAAGCAAAGTGAGCGATGCGAGCATCGTGCACCGCCCTTCACAACGCACACAGCACACCATCCTTCACAACGCACAGACCACATCGGATTTGATACAGAGAGAAGAGAGCGGGGATGCTTCCCTCTCACACTGTCATAACAGCGAATGCAGCATGAAATGCCGAAAAGAGTGAATGTCTGTGCAAAATGAGAACAATGGGCTTCTGTTGCCCAATCATCACTTTGTTCTCAGTCTTACCCCACACTCCGGAGACGTCACGATGTTTTTGGTGTCGCAGTTCCTCAGGCGCAGAAATAGAGATCCCACTAGCACACCGAGCGATGCAAACCGGATTGAAACAGTCCTGAAAGCCGTGGCAACATGCCAACATGAACATGGCAACAAACCAGGCATACACAAGCACATAGCAGGCATACACAAGCACATAGCAGGCACGTAGCACCACCGTTGGATGTGGTCCAGCCGGGGGGTGTCCCCCAGGAAAGTGTTGAAACTAGGGTGCAAAATCCTGCATTCTGGGCACTTTTGGCATTGTGTTAAAAAAAGAAGTGGTCCGGCCAAAGTGGGACAGGCCAGACCGGCTGCTATGCCCCGCATAGTCTGGTGGTTGGTTGAATGGCTAGAACATTTGCTTTCCAAACATGAGGCTGACAGTTCTCTTTCTCAAGGAAGATGATTACCTAGAGCCCAAGGAGATGCCTCTAGGATTCAGCATCTGACTGCAGTTAATTAACAAACAAAAACAAATCCGCAAGGGGAAAGCACCCTCGCTTTAGAGCTATCCCATGCCAGTCGGGGAGATGTCCCATCTAGAACATGTCACTCTGATTGATCACCTGCCCCAGGGTTGTCATGGAAGCGTGGTTAGTGCACTCGCTTTATCTTATTTCCGGAGTATACGTCCCACTAAGCACTCATAATAATTCACACTAAATAAGTCGGTGAGACGTATACTATGATGGTCAAATGAACCGTGATATACAGGGTAGACGTCTGTATTAATTTCATGACAAAAATCTGGGTATGGCTCATACTCCAGTGCGGTGTACACTCCGGAAAATACGGCACTCAAACTCCAGACAACTAGCTGTTTAGATCTTGTTAAATGAAGGGACATTATCATCTCTGTTACCTTGTTAACTAACGACAGCCGCTAACATCCGGGAAATCCAGTGGCAGATGCAGCGCCTGATGGTGGGGCCGAGGCATAAGTCTCACAGCCACTGACACAAGTGCCGAAAACACAAATGGCAAGATCCATGTGTTGAGGTTCGACCTCAACTAACTGAACTGCTACTGATCTGCATGATATCAGTCGCCATGTATCTGACTTTGCATTGTCGTCACTACCTACGTGTAGTGCACTGTTAGCTGTGTTTTAGTGTCGCGCGGTATCTGCGTGTCACGTGTTTATTGCTTTGCGCGGGCTTTTCCATACTTTGAGTGAGTTGTGAGTTTGTGTGGAGGGAGTTCTGGAGAGAGAGAGTTGGAATGGCGGACATGGTTTTTCGAGTGGTTTTCCCTTTTGCTTTTGTCTTGTAGTATTGTCTGAGATCATGATAGTCTAAGTAAGAGATATCTCAGAACCCATCCAGTTGTTGTCTAACAGTCTGCGAACGAGCGAGCCCGACTCAACACCATGTACCCTTTTGTGCCTGGCCTCTAGTTCTCTGTTGACTGCAGGTGACGGCACAGCTGGAAAAACTGCTCCCAGGCAGGATTTAAACCAGTCAGGCAGGCATCCCTCGTATCTCAATCATGGTCTTAGACTAACCCACTTTGCGTGCCTGGTGGACACAAAAAAATGCACGGTGACGATGATGTACCTGTACATGAATTCAACCTATCAAGCATCTTACCGCATCAAAGTGTACTTGACTTCCTGCCTTGGTGTTCTCCACTTCTCGAGTGCAGTCAGGGACTCGAAGATAATCGGAAGAACGGCATTGAATGCAGCTATCGTTAACGAGGATGCCAGTGTTTTCAAATAGTACATGGCAGTTTCAGTTGTCGACTGTTGCTACAAGTAAAAGAAACAAGTGGAGAAGAGACATGGGAAATAAGGATAAAAATAGGAGTTGCTAGGAATGAACACAAACGGAGGTAACACATACAGCATTTTAATGAGATTTTCTGCAGCCGTTTTAGAGTAAACAAGACTTTATCTAGCCAGAAGTAGCCCCTAGGTCAACAGGTAGTGTATTTCCGAAGTACAAGCCACACCTGAGTATACGGCGGACCCAGAGTTTGTTGCCACAAAATACAGACATCTACTGCATATACCACCATAAATTTGACCATCGTAGGATAATACGCCGCAATGACTTTTATTGGCGTGAATTATTGGTGTTTTTAAAGTGTGGCTTATACTCCGGAAAATACGACAGGTGGACGTCAAAACAGAAAGTATATAAACCTGAAAACCAACAAAGGAACCACACATACACACACACATACACACACACACACACACACACACACTCAGACTCAGACTCAGACATGCCCATCGCAGAAGCGATGATAGCGAACAGCTATGTTAGACATAGCAACTTGTGCTGGGATTACACCAATCAACAGCTTGCAAGGCTGATGAATTGACCGCCACTAATTTTAGCCTGGTATCCACCACACAGCTGATTGAAGTGGCTTTTTCTGGCCAGTGAATCCCTATTTTTCATTTTTTCCATTTTTTATTCTTTTTTTTTTACACACACACGCCACACCACATACTCCGGCATACACTGGCTGTTGGTAACCACCCAGGAGAATGAAAGAAGAGCTAGGAGAATGAGAAAGAGAAGAAAGATGTGTGCGACGATAATCGTCGGGAATTGAACCCGCAACCTCTCGCTTGGAAATCAATTGCACATACCACTGCACCATATGGGACAAACACACACACACACACACACACACACACACACACACCGTTGACCATTTGACGCCCATCGCCAGAGGCGATGATAGCAATGCCTCAGCAGAAGCCATAGCAGCTTGTGCTGGGATTGCACCATTCAAGAGCTTGCAAGGCTGAAGAATTGACCACCACTATTCAGCCTGGTCTACACCACACAGCTATGAAGTGGCTTTTTCTGGTCAGTGAATCCCTACTTTTTGGTCTTTTTTCATTTTTTCCCCGCACACACATCACACCACATACTCTGGCATGCACTGGCTGTTGATAACCATCCAGGAGAATGATAGAAAAGTCAGGAGGAGTCTGAGAAAGAGAAGAAAGACGTGTGTGACCATAATCATCGGGAATCGAACCCGCAACCTCTCGATTGGAAATCGCTGCACATACCACTGCATCATATGGGACACATACACACACACAACACATCACATCACACATCACACCGCACAAGTTAGAACCATGTTTCAAAATTACAGTTGGCTCCAAACCAGTTCGCGTTGCTTCAATGGAAAGGTTAGTTGTGAGGTAGATGCACCAACCAGCCAAGGCCAGAAAGCCTGCCACAAGAATGTTTACCACCAGACGTCTCTGATAAAGTCTAAACTTTTCACGCCAGGATAGTCGTTGCCGTGATGTTTTGTCATCTGCAACGTATTCCTTTCACAGTAACGGCAGAGATCCAGATATCACACACAAACACAAGGCACACAACTTATAAGCGATGTACACAGATCACGCACACTGCGGACGGGTGTGGTGTATCCATATACGCATCCCGCTCTCCATGTGTGCATGCTAGAATCTTTTGTACTTGCTTCCTGTACCCATGCCAGCACAGCACGCGCACTGATTCTCTGCTGCTGGAACCTCTTACTCAGTTGTCATTTTGTTTTCCTTGTGTTTACATGTATTTTGATGAAGATATTGAAACCAAACACGGTGAACAAAAGTAAACCGGAAAGATCCAAGCACCTAGTAGTAAAAGAATTATCAAAATCACAGAAAGCCAAGTATAAGTATGGCTTTAGAGCTATGATTTTCCGCTTTTCAACCAAGTGCCACGTGCAGAGTGTGTTTCCGGTACACCATTGCATACTTGGCCAACCAGTTCATGTTTGCGAGCCGGTTTTCTAGTCAAGTAGCTGCTGCTTTTCTGGCTTAATTATTCTGCTTTTGCAACAGCACTTTGGCTAAGGATTTGCCTGGCTATATAGCATGCAGTTGGGCGTCAGAATGGTTGGCACAGTTATTGGAAGAGTCCAAACAAAAAGTCTCACTCTGATCGAAATAACGAAATTAGTACGCAATGCACGGGTAGATCGAAAAGTATCAGAAGAGGACAATGAGTGACTGTGACGGCTGTGACGGCTGTACTCGTAGACTAGAGACGGATAACGGTGCAAGATAACAGTGCAAGATAACAGTGCAAGACTTCTATAGTGGACAGGTAGATATGATCCTTTACCTCCAGCTCTCTGCGGGTGGCAATGGCCTTGAGCTTTGCAGTATCATCGTTAGCGATGTTGAAGTCCCAGGCACTGAAGACTTTGTTGGTGTATTTGTACGTTGTGTTGAACTTCTGCAGCTGTTGCTGTTGGTGTGAGAATCCAATACTGTTTACAGCATTCACGGGATCAGAAACACAAACACAACAGCTACAATTTCATCAACCATACATCGTGTAGGATATTGGTGTGCATGTACGCACACTCATTCACGCACACGGCATCTACAAAGGACAACAAGAGGGCATTTTCACAATCTCCCATATGCGACTGTTGTACATGTGGCTGCGCTTGTATCTCTTCGTTGTACATGCGGCTACGCGTGTAGCTCTTTGTCGTACATGCTGCTGCGTTTGTGTCTCTTTGTTGTACATGCTGCTGAACCCTGGTACACGCTGCTGCGCGGTCTCTGGCTCCTGCGTACATGCGGCTGCACCGTCTTCTGTCCCCGTTGTATACACACTGTCTCGTCTTGGCCCCGTTGTACGCCTTCACTATACATATATTCCGTTGTCTCGTCTTGTCTTGTTGTTAGTTGTCAGTTCTCTCGTCGGCGCTTGAAGATCATTACAGAAAAGCTCTCTCTCTCGGTATCGAGAAACAACTATTTTCCTAGTATTTTGTTGTGTGGCATGGCGAGAGCGTAGAGAAGTAGTTCGTCGAACGGCCGAGACGACACGACATTGACACATTGTGAAAGCAGGCGATTGATGATAGGGGCTGCGCATAGCCCAGTGTAAGCTGAGTGGCGAGGAAAACTTCCACATATGCTCATTTTAGAAGCATGCTCCATCTCGGGGTTACTTCTGATCTATGTGAAGGCTGTGCCTTATATAATACAATTCATCCATATTCGGAGATTTCCCCTCATCCTGCCTCTTTTCCGCCTCTTGTAATTCCCTATGGACTATCAGTCCTAGATTAGTGACCCTGACACGCCCCTACAGGGGGGGGGGCATATACATGTAGAAATGAGAGAGGTCAAAGCTTACCTCCATAGCACCCAGGCAAAGGAGGTGACGAGGACCAGCAGGCCAGTGAGAAGATATGCGATCGGCAGGTTGAAAGGTCCGACCTTTTGATCGGTATATATGCCGTAGTAGACAATGGATTCCCGCAGAACACCCTGTAGTGAAACGGACAAACAATCTGCTGCTTACATGGACGTGGATGAGTGAGAGAAAGATGACCTGCATGAAACAAGCAGTTTTTCCTGGCAACTTACACGTCCCACAATGCAGTCCACCAACACCTGGTCCCAGCGATACGACTCTGTGACGTTCAGGAAAGACCTGTTATCTGTGATGCCCATGGACATGTACACACACACGTGCGCACGCACGCACATGCGTGCGCACACATGCACACACACACACACACACACACACACCCATGTGCGCACGCGCGCATCCCAACAGATGCACATAATTTTACATACATGTGCAATTCCAGATAGTAGTATATTTTTATTTTACTAGGGTAATCGAAACAGGCAGATAGACGTATACACGTTCACAAATTTGTAATCATATGCATACACATGTATACAATCGCCCTAGAGAGAGAGGAAGCCATGTTACGACTACGAGCTTCACGTTTAATCACAATCACAACTGAGTCGGTTGCTACGGCGCTCTCGCACAAGAATGCCTGCGATTGACCTAACTCACCTCCGCTGACAATTTGCGGTGCCACCACAAACGATATGGTCATTACGGTGAGGAAGAAGTTCAAAAAGAGCAAGGCTCGTAAGAAGCTGAAGTAGGCGACCACGCTGCTACCAAACCTCCCTGAAAACAAACAGACGATCCATAAGTCCAAGGATGAGATCAAAACAACTGATGTTGCGCTGTACACCGGTGCCTGACCTAGGGTACCAGCACAGGTACATGCATGATACGTTTGGAATCTCGAACAAGGCCAGGGTGGTACTGACGTGTATGAGCAGGAATGACGTCAGCCACATGTGCTACTCACGTCGGATATAGACAAAGGCACTACCTCATGGGCAAGTACAAAGTATTCGCCCATCGCATGCCAAGTTGCCAACCTTTGACAGCCTCACTGCGTGTGCCAATATTCGATTTCAACATTCTCACTTGAGCTGAGCGTCAATACAAAAATTTCCTGAACTATTACATTACTCTTAGGTAGTTATCATACTCGGGCCATGCCACAAGGATATAGAATAAGGTCCTGCCCTTCCCCCCGCCCCAAACTGGACCAATGAAAACAAACCCAGCCGGTTGTGAAGTTTTCCTCGAGGAGAAATGTTTCAAAAGCAGGCCTACCTTCAATAGTCTTCAATGAAGTGCGCCAGATTCCAAAGGTGAACCAAACATCTTTCAAGCGACCTTGTATCTTCTTCTTCAGCTGGTGAGCCACAGGAACAAGAGAACAACGAAACACTGAATATGGTATACCCGGGAACACATAGTGTACACCTGCGGCCAAAGTTAAGCCTAGTTCACATTCGACGAGGCGCGACGGGACGCAACGTTAGGATCGACGGGAAGCGACGGGACAGTCTGACGGGGTCCAATGTGAACACCAGAAACGGGAACGCAACCGTACCGCCGTACGGATCGGGAAGCGACGGGAAGAGTTGGATTGATTCAACTTTTCATACCGTAGACGGGAACGCAAGCGTACAAAACAGCTGCATTTTGAGTGTGAACAGGAGACGGCGTCGTGCGCCGGCTGCTCCCGATTCGTACTTGGAAATTGTTAGCATTTCGAACACCGCGCTTCCTATGATAACTCGCAGAATGGCTAACACGACTTGAGTTGAAATTTGGCAAGATAAGGTCTGATGTCACATATGCCGGCTTTGAGTATCAAAGCCAAGTTAGCCCACGCGGGCACATGCGCAGTGATGGTCTCATGATGCATATCATTTAAAATTATTATTCTGTGCCGAGTATGATCTGTAATTTGCATTTTTGCACTGCTGCTACTGTTGCCTTTATGCGCGCTGCAGTAGCTAGTTGAATGCAGTTTGGTTTGTCTTTCCTTTGGACAAGAAGTGCTTTCCGTGTCAGGCTGGTAATTTCTCTGAATGGCACACCTTTCAAAGCTACTTTTTTGGTCTTCATGAAAACCTGATATTGTGAACTTGATTCCGCTTCATTGAAGGAGAGATAATAGACACCCTTCGCAAAAAACGTTATGTTGTAACGGTATTATCGTAAGGGGGAAAATACCGTGATTTGGGTTCGACCTTTAGCAAGATGCACGCTATTTTTAGTACGCTGTTGCCACGAGAGTAGCTTTGATTTCGCGCGGTACAACCATTTTTGTCACCATATACGCGATACAAGGTGAAATGCATACGGACTATGCAATATTTGGCCAAAACACGTACCGTTGGTCACAACGATAAATCAGCCCCCATCACGTTTATACGGTGCAGCTTCAACGCTATTTGGGTGATCAAGGTACGAGTACCGTAAAAAAAATAGCGTTACCGTTGTTTGCTAAGGGTGTCTAATTGAAAAGAAGTCCCGAAAAACAAGAAATTAGGTCCAAACGTCACCCCGTCACGGACCGTGCCTTATGACTGTCGCCGTTCGCTGTTGAACGACGCAACGACTGCAGCATGTCGTGTCGTACGAACCGTACAAGATTTTACAGCTCACCCCAGCCTTCCCGACAGGCCCTTACGTCCCGTACCGTCAGCGTTCCGTCGAATGTGAACTAGGCTTTATACAGCGTGGCACTGCACCCTCCTTCCAGGCTTGCAACCCCCCCCCCCCCTTTCAAAATAGACAGCGTCACTGAGCAGTCCATGACGTTACCTATGCAGGGTGTGTTACGTGCATGTAAGCACTCAAGAGTAGACTGATAAGCTGGTTCATTGCTGTGGATAGTACAGCACTGTCGGGCGCCGAAGAACGGAGCGGCGAAGAACGACCCGGCTAGAATTTCACCAAGCACAACATACCAATGTATACACGGTGACTCAACTGTGCATAGACTGTAATACATGAAAATAAGAACGGTCTAAGCTAGGAGGCTGACCCCCTAGTTCTTCGGCGACCAACAGTACTGTAGTAACAGTTGATTTTAAAAATGGCAATAGGCCTACGGTACCATGCTAAACTCCAGGTGCGGAGACATACACATCTGTATAATTATGCAGAAGCTAAGTGACCCCCCCCCCCCCTCTTCAATTTGAAAGAGAGGCACTAGTGCCAGAGAGGGAACAGATGGCTCACGGACTTGCAGACAAGAGCACGTGTTGGGGAGAAACGCATGCGACTGAACACGATAGGGCTAGAATGTTGAAAGTGTTCCGTCACAGCCGATGTATACTACATGTATTCATAATGTAAGTACAGAACTGATCATTTCTTAGTCACACTGTAAGTGTGTGCTTTCTAGTCACACATAGTCACTACTGACCTTCCAAGCTTGAAATGAAACTCCATCCCAGAATGTTAGCCGCGATCTGGGCGGCGGATTTTGCCGGGCCCTGCACACGGACACAAGGATGCCACATCCAGGCATACACAAACACATGCATGCACAGCCAAACACAAAACACGCACACACACACACACACACACACACACACACACACACACACACACACACTCGCACACGTACACACAAGCACACACGTACACACACGCACACACGTACACATGTTCACATGCACGCATACATGTTGCAATCATTTCTGCCCAATATTTCGGAATATCTGTACACCTAGTCTAGTATCTTCTCCAGAATGCTTAGAACACTAGTCAGAATAATGAGCAAACCACAGTTATGACTTACTGGTCAAGCTGATCCCTTCTTGATTGGAGATTCCCGGTCATAGCTGCACCGGCATGATTCATGGAGAAGACAGACTTGCTTGCAGCAATCTGTGATGCACCAACATAACTCATGGAGAATACGGACTTGCTCGGGCCAAGCTGCGGTACACCATCGTGGACAGATAGGTGATGAGGTGCCATGTAGATGGAGAATGAGCTGGGCTTCACCGCAAGCGTGTCTTCAAAACCCAACCACATAGAAAAAATGATGGCACAACTCGGAAAAGGAAATCAACCGAAACCGTCCTCATAGAGGGCGCTCATTTTCACCAACAAGCTATGGAAGGTAATTACATAGTGGATGCGTTACCTTTTTCTGAAAATGGTGGCTTCTACCTTCCTGTACCGGCATTAGCAGGCTGGAGGTTTGAAAAAGTCGGTGGAGGGAAGTGTAGTTATGTGATTTTCATTGTACCCATGGCTATGGAGCGCAGCCCAACAAAGTATCATGCATTCGTGCTGAATGCTGAATACTGTAAAACCACATTATTTTATCACCAATCAAACTTGACAATCTTCTGATTTGTGTTAGTTAGCGATGTGAAATCTTTTAACGAATTCTGGATATCAAACCCGGAAAAATAACTGTGCATACTTAAAATATTCATTCATTTCCACTTTCTATCCACTATCCACTATATGCCCACTCATTCCTTCACAATAGGTCATTACTAAAACACGCAAGAAACTCAAAACTTGCTTTCGCCATCAATGTCCAATGACTGCAGGATACATACAGGATCCAGAAGGTCATGTTTACTCCAGCCATGTTGCTTTGCAAGAGCTACAGTACTGTCGGGCGCCGAAGGCTTGAACAGGCTAGAATGTTACCAGGTGTAGGATACCCGTATATTAGTGGTGAAACGAATATTCGAATATTCGAACATTCGTTCGGTTTGTAACATTCGAATATTCTTTAAGTCACATTCGAGTATTCGTTACATCACTTCGAATGCAGTGCATGTATATACAAGCACGCCGAACACAATACAGTGCAGTGCGCACAGCCTGCCTGTGACTTTGTACTCCATGTTTTCTCATGCATGGGTATACTGGACTGCCAATGTTGCACATAACATGTATTATCCATATAAAAATCGCTCTGTGAGCGGTTCTGAAAAACCTTTACTGGTACTGCCCCGTCGTAAAAGTAAGAAATTAGAACTGGCCCATTGTCCCCCCAAATGCGAACTGATCCACCTAAATCGCGAATGACGGGACCCGAACGCACCAGTAGCACGAGGTCGGGAGGGCACAGGATCACGGCAATTATCATAGGGTAACACCAGTAGTAGCAGTAGAATTTATTATTTTGATAGGGAAGCCTACCGCTAGTACAGTACATGGCCTATGGTCCGGACCAACGTCCCCATCTGCATCCACAGGTAGGAACCTCGTGCTACTGGTGCGTTCGGGTCCCGTCATTCGCGATTTAGGTGGATCAGTTCGCATTTGGGGGGACAATGGGCCAGTTCTAATTTCTTACTTTTACGACGGGGCAGTACCAGTAAAGGTTTTTCAGAACCGCTCACAGAGCGATTTTTATATGGATAATTTCAGCTCTTTTTCCGTTCCCTCCCCACCCCAACCCCGAAGGTAAACATAATGACCACACGCGCGATGTACTGTATGTAGCCATGCGACTGCAATAACACACTGATACATACCAGCCCTCCCCGCCTCGCTACCCCGCACACAGATACACAAACATGTGTATGCACACGGCACACACACGTGGCCACGCACCCATACGCACATGCACACGACACAAACAGGAAATTCTTCATGTATAATGCCATGCAAAGCAGTGGCCACCGTACTTGAGGAAGTCAGTTGTGAAACAAAAATAATTCAACTACAGCGTGTAGACAAGCTGACGGCCAAAGCACAACATAGCAAACATGACATTTGCCCAATGATTGCAGTTTGCAGACCATGCCATGGAAGCAGCGAATACAGAATGTAATATCATACAAAGTGACAAGCAAGGACGTGGCCATCATACACCAGAAACTTGCAGAAAGTCACATATCCAACAGATAGAGAAGTGAGCAGCAATCTGATACAGCCCACACAGGACAAAGCGGACCTGATACTCGTCCCAGGATCGCAAGTGGCAAACCCTTTTCAATGCATAACATGCAGGTGTACGTTAGACGCATGAACATCTGACCGTGTCGCCAGCATACAATGTCATCACATGTTTACCCCACAAGTTACACACATGCACAGTAGAAGCACAATGAAAGCAATGGAAAAGTACGATGTGGTTGCTGAAGCATCTTCACACTTCAAATTCAGACTTCAATGTGGTCGTCACGGGATGATATACCTGCAAGATACAAGTGATGAAGAAAGAAAGCAGAAGGTCGTGAGGTAGGCTATGAGACACCACAAACGGTTCACCTACATGTCTGTTCAGGGCTAGTGCACTCACACGGAGAATTGTCATAATCGAGCATTTCCCAAACTGAGAAGTGCAATGAAATCCACTTGCATGCACAGGAGCAATTTTGCAATATTATGATGCGCAATTCGACACGATCTGCGATGCTGCGTGCGATGTGCCCTGCTGTCATGATAGTGACAGTCACCGCAGTATGTTTTGTCAACGTCGCCCGTGCACTCTTCTGTCAAGTCCAAAGTGCTCACATCCTTGGCAATGTTTTTGCAGTGATTAACTTTTATCCTAGTGTCACGGGTAACTTTAATGAAGTACCCGCAGGCCGTGTCGATCTGCACATCGTCCACTCTCTCATGTACTTGGCCTGCTTTGTCTGTGTATCCATTTCATGTGCGATCCACAAAATCGACTAGACAGTGGGTGCAATACGCGCTCTACCTGAAGACGTTCTTCTGGCGACATCTCGCCATGTACTTGGCCTGGCTTTGTCTGTGTATCCATTTCATGTTCGATCAACAAAATCTCAATGCACTACAGAGACTAGACAGTGGGTGCAATACGCTCTCTATCTGAAGACGTGAACCATTAAGTTTGTTGGAAAAGTTATACGTACACCTGAAAGGTAATGAAGTACAGGAATAGAGAGAGTGACTACAATACGCTCTCGACCTGATAACGTGAGTACAAGACACTCTCCACCTGATAACGTGTTAGGCTGTGTTTACATGAGAAATTTCAACCCGGGTCGAGTTCAGCCCGGGTTGAAAGTCTGTACGATAGACAAAAGAGGTGAGTGTTTACATGAAGACAGTTGACCCGGGTCAAATACTTATATGCCGCCAAAAGTCCACTTCTACAGTCCTGTATGGTCACGTGAATCCGTTCACGCGAAATTTGCATCTGCAGTGCCGTTCAAACCTGGCGCGAGATACGCACAGAAGTACGTTTGTACGATTTTCTTGACCCGGGTTGATTTCAACCCTCCCCTTGGGGGGAGGGTTGAAATCAACCCGGGGCGAAATTTCAACCCGGGTCAAGCGCAATGCGTCATGTGAACGCGCCATTCATTTTGTGCACATGGCGGGTTGAAATCTGACCCGGGTCGAACTCAACCCGGGTTGAAACGCTTCATGTAAACACAGCCTTAGTAGAAGGTAACGGGTCTACAGTCCCACCGTACCCTTCATCATTCCTCATTCACCATCGCGCGATACCCTGGCACACACTGGCAACATATCAATGGGGTGCCTTACCGTCGTCTAGAGGAGACGTCTTCGCAGCAATATTTTCCCTCCTGCGCATTCAGTCGCCGACGCGACAGCGTTCACGGGGCCGTTCCAGTTGCGGAAGACATTCGATTCATCGGGCCAATTCAGCAACAGGGCCGTGGACACACAGGGGGCAGAGGAGAGACATTGTTAGTGGACAAGAAATATGCAGTGGCAAGTGGCGAGTGCCGCATGGATGTCAAGTTGTCATGCACAATTCAGCTATTACTTACGGTCCAGCTAGTCCTGCCATTGCTCGCTCGTCCTGGTTCCTCCTCGTTCGTCTTCCTGCACGTCTGCACTTCTCCTTCCCCACCGTTGGCTTTGCGGTACGGGGGTGCCGGAAGGAATTCCCACATGTACATGAAGTCACACCATGACTCTCCATGTACATGTCCACGGCCATGTCAGCAGTTTTATAGTACCGGAAGGAGTTCCCACGATGTCTCCAAAGGCCTAGAGCGGGCGTCTTTGCAGCAATTCTTTTCGCCCTGCGCATTCAGTTCGCCATGTCTCCAAAGGCAAAGGCCTAGAGCCTAGTAGAGGGGACGTCTTTGCAGCAATTCTTTTCACCCTAGTACCCTGCACATTCACTCCGCCGACACGACAGCGTTTACGGGGCCGAGGTGCAAAAGGTCCACGTCAGCAGTTCTCAACTATTTCGCGTACGGGATAGTCGCCGCGACAGCGTTTAAGGGGTCGTTCCAGGTGCAAAAGGTATCCATCAATGGCACTTTGCAGTATGGGGTACGGAAAAGGGGCCTCCTCGTTCGACTTCGTCGACTTCTGCAGTTCTCCTTCCCGTCAGGGGTACCGAAAGGGGCCTCCTCGCAGTTGTCCTTGCCGTCAGGTCCACGTCATGCAATTCTCAACTATTTCGCGTACGGGATAGTCGTCTTTGTCGTACGCGACATCGGCGTTTACCGAGTGGCATTGGCACAAAGCAGACCGTTGACGGGGTCACGTGTCAAAAAAGTATCAACAACGTGTCGACTACGTGTCGACCACGTGTATAGCGGTACACTCAGCGGTACACTAATTCTCTTGCGTCATGTGAACGCGCCATTCATTTTGTGCACATGGCGGGTTGAAATCTGACCCGGGTCGAACTCAACCCGGGTTGAAACGCTTCATGTAAACACAGCCTTAGTAGAAGGTAACAGGTCTACAGTCCCACCGTACCCTTCATCATTCCTCATTCACCATCGCGCGATACCCTGGCACACACTGGCAACATATCAATGGGGTGCCTTACCGTCGTCTAGAGGAGACGTCTTCGCAGCAATATTTTCCCTCCTGCGCATTCAGTCGCCGACGCGACAGCGTTCACGGGGCCGTTCCAGTTGCGGAAGACATTCGATTCATCGGGCCAATTCAGCAACAGGGCCGTGGACACACAGGGGGCAGAGGAGAGACATTGTTAGTGGACAAGAAATATGCAGTGGCAAGTGGCGAGTGCCGCATGGATGTCAAGTTGTCATGCACAATTCAGCTATTACTTACGGTCCAGCTAGTCCTGCCATTGCTCGCTCGTCCTGGTTCCTCCTCGTTCGTCTTCCTGCACGTCTGCACTTCTCCTTCCCCACCGTTGGCTTTGCGGTACGGGGGTGCCGGAAGGAATTCCCACATGTACATGAAGTCACACCATGACTCTCCATGTACATGTCCACGGCCATGTCAGCAGTTTTATAGTACCGGAAGGAGTTCCCACGATGTCTCCAAAGGCCTAGAGCGGGCGTCTTTGCAGCAATTCTTTTCGCCCTGCGCATTCAGTTCGCCATGTCTCCAAAGGCAAAGGCCTAGAGCCTAGTAGAGGGGACGTCTTTGCAGCAATTCTTTTCACCCTAGTACCCTGCACATTCACTCCGCCGACACGACAGCGTTTACGGGGCGGAGGTGCAAAAGGTCCACGTCAGCAGTTCTCAACTATTTCGCGTACGGGATAGTCGCCGCGACAGCGTTTAAGGAGTCGTTCCAGGTGCAAAAGGTATCCATCAATGGCACTTTGCAGTATGGGGTACGGAAAAGGGGCCTCCTCGTTCGACTTCGTCGACTTCTGCAGTTCTCCTTCCCGTCAGGGGTACCGAAAGGGGCCTCCTCGCAGTTGTCCTTGCCGTCAGGTCCACGTCATGCAATTCTCAACTATTTCGCGTACGGGATAGTCGTCTTTGTCGTACGCGACATCGGCGTTTACCGAGTGGCATTGGCACAAAGCAGACCGTTGACGGGGTCACGTGTCAAAAAAGTATCAACAACGTGTCGACTACGTGTCGACCACTTGTATAGCGGTACACTCAGCGGTACACTAATTCTCGTGCCATTCTCGTGTCACAAAACTGGAACATCGAGTACCAGTATGGAAAGGCTTCAGACAGGAAGCCTTTCCAATGAACTTCGAGGTAGCCTTATGTGGCAGTGCATTTTATGTGGCACTACCGTTTGTCATACCTAATAATAATGACAATATCCATCAAATGACTGAGAGGAGGGCATGTGATGGCATCTCTGTTACCAAAAGAAATTAAAGAATATTCGTACGTTCGTTCGATAAGCCAAAGAATATTCGGTTACTAGGTTTTGACATTCGTTTCATCACTACATGGTGGCTCAGCTGTATACTGTAAGTCCACAAATTTTCGGCCCATTTAAACTTCGGCCTCCCAGGGCTAAAACCGATTTCGGCCGCATCAAATTTTCGGCCTGTACTGCTGCCGCCTGTATACACTGTCACACTGAACCTTGCAAAACAGAATTTCGGCCGCAACAAATTTTCGGCCAAACATGACCAGGCCGAAAATATCCGAAGATAAATATACGTCGAATATTTGTTCACTTACAGTAGACAGTTGTACATGACATAATAGGAATGGCACAGGCTATGACTCTTCAGCACTAGACAGTACAGTGACATCTTGGAGATCAGCTTACTTGCTTGCCTGGCATCAATGGTGTGGTTGGACTTGCCGTGTGTGGAAACGTGGTCCTCGCTAACCGTCGACAGGCGCCTGACATCAGCATTCTGGTAGACTTCGTCGTACAGGCTTGGTACATCTGTTGTGTCCAGTGCCTTGTTCCTGGATATCAGAGCATTGCAGTGTGGAGACTATCCTTGTACAGCCAACCAACTACACAATTTTGAAGTGGGCTGAGCCAATGCTGTTCAGCCCGAGAGACCCAAGTAGACTTTGCGGGATCAAGCATGACATGTGTATGAAGAAAACATCAGATCTTTTAAAATGCAAAGCCCCTACATTCTGCCCAATGTAAGAGGCCACTTGGCATTATACAAGTAGATAATTTTCATGGAACGAAAAGTTTAGTTATGACCGCCCCACCCATCCACCCCCTGAACGAAAAATAATGTTTCAGCTACCAAAACGAAACTCTCTTCGACCCACCCACCCACAAACGAAACTGTTTCATTTTGTGTAAAGGATCGATAATTACAGACGGCCTTAAAAGGAAGTGCTTGCAGGTAGGCGCTCAGCCTCTGGTCAGGTGTCAGACAGTCTGCATGCTTCTTTCATGGTTCCTGCTTCGTGCCAGTCCAGAGCATGTCACACAACACTACACACATTGTGCTTCGTTCGTCCTTCATCAATGGTGAGATGTGTACCGTCAGGCGAAATAGCACGTCATAGTACATTTGAGATCAGCGGGAAGAAGATGACGACGTCCACTAATTTAGTATCTGTGCACACGAATCTGCTGTGTGTGTGACTCTGTGTGTCAGCTATGATATCATCTTCTGTGGTTCCATGCCTAGCATGTACATCTGAACCATCCTGCAAAGTTTGAATGACGTAGGTTGAGCGATCGCTCCGCGAAACATACTTTTTGAAATTCTCTTCATTGTATATCTGTAAAGGAAATGCTTCTCCCCCTGGCCCCCGCCACACAACAACGCAAACTCTTGATTGTATCTTCGATACTCTTATATTATACCAAGAAATGACGAGGGCGCAGGAGGAGAGAGACAAACTTGGTGAGGACAAAAAGGACAACGGGAAGACTCCCGGGAAAAGACTCTCGAAAAGACTCCAGAAAAGACTCCAAGAAACAACAACGAACAAGCAGTAATAAGCCGACGACAACTCGAGACGACCAATCAGGGACGAATACGTACAGAACACATGACCAAGACCAAGACAACCAGACCACGGACAAATCACACATGACTCTCATTCTCAACATATCTTCCACCATTGAAATTTCGAATTTCTTAAAAAAAAGGGCTGAGAGGGGTGGCTTGCAACCTCGATATGGCTTGTTCCAGGCATGCTTTGGAGCCATCTTCTGTTGAAGTAGTGGCGGGGATCTGCCCTGCAACTGCTACAACAAAAAAGGATTCGATCTGAGAAAGGGTGAGACCGCGAATCTCGGTTGAATATTGAGTATTTCAAGCCTTTTCACGACGAAGATGGAGTTCTTTTTGGAGATGGACGTCGCGGCAAAGGACATTGTGTCCGACTTCTGGCGTCTGGTGAAGCCAGGGATCATTTGTCCAGTCAGGTCGGCAGCCTAACCGTCGGTAAGCTTGTGTTTGGATCCCGTTCTGCTCGATGTGGTAGATTACAAACAATTTGATATCGCACAAATTGATCTCAGCATCGTGCGTACGGTATTTTATATTCAGAAAATCCCAAAGTGTCTCTGTGTGGCCGTCCTATGCCACGAGAAACTCCAATCAGGCTCCTATGTCCTCTGCCTTCATGATTGAATGTCCACTTCGTTTGGACAACAAACACAACAATCGAAGACGGCTTTGCAATGAAAAATACAGCTATACTGAAACTGAAAAAAAGAAGAAAAAACGTGCTCAGGATGAGACTCGAGTACACGCATACTCTCCCAGCAGGTGAAACGCAAATTTTTGTGAAAAATACGTGTCGCCGACTGACCAGTAATTTCGCCTGACGCTGCAGAAGCTGCAGCTGCTCAACAGTACAGGCTATGCCCTTTCGCATAGATGGTTCAGCGCCCAGGAAAGGTGAAGCTCGCAAAAACACACTGAGACTACAAGTAAATGCAACACACACATCAGGCCCATCACACCGACTTTGGAGGTGGGGTGGCCTTGGAAGGGGGGTCCGGGGGTCGTCCCCCGGGAAAAAATTTCAAAAATTGAAGCCAAATGCAAGCATTTCCGGGCATTTGGTGCCATTTCAGTGTAACTACAATGAAAGACTTTTTGATTCTGCAACAAACCAAGAAGATGCTACGATCGGGGACATGGGTTCTTCATTATCTTCCCACGGGAAAAATTTTCAAAAATTGAAGCCAATTTGCAAGCATTTCCAGGCATTTGGTGCCATTTCAGTGTGCTGTGAGTGCAATGAAAGACTTTTTTGATTCTGCAATAAACCACGATCGGGGACAAGGATTCTTCATTATTTTCCACGTTTGGGCTGAGCTGCGATCATGCATGGAGTGTGCTCCAAAAAAAAAAAAAAAAACGGCCGAAAAAGTGGGGCGGCCTCAGCCGCCCCAGCTGTGTAATCCATCCTGGCGCAAGTTTGCAATGCATCACGACATTCCTAACACTGAAAAGTCAAGTGGCTTCATAGCACAAAAACATACACATTTCGACAAGCAGCGGCGGATTCGGTCGGGGGGGGGGGGGGGAAGGGGTCAGGTTGCCGGCCCAGTATTTCACAATTTGGACCATGGTTCTGCCTTAGAATTAGTAGCAGTGCAGTACCATAAATCCCAAAGACTGCATAGTGGTAGTGCGTGCGTGACACATTGCGTACATACATGCGAGTATATATCACAAAGCGGAGTTGCCGTTGACTTGCGAAAGTGCTCAACCATGAAAAGTACCGCCATTGTGAACTTGTGTGTACAAGTATGTATCATGTTTCAACCACTAAATTTACGGTGAATCCTGTCTTTGGAACGCTTCTGAATCCACCAATAGGTCGTGTCTTTTTTCAACATTTTGACTATTCCCTTACACAAATTGTGATCTATAATAATCATAGCTATGCATTAAAGTCTCTTCATGGTCACATGTACACTCACCAAACGGCAGTAGAGTATTGGCGACCACTAGCTGTGGTCACACAGCGAAGGCTTGCTTTGTCAACTGTACCAGTGGCACTGCCTGGCCTACTCTTCTTGATGTTGCGCAGTCGACGAACGCTGACACGACTTGGTCCGATGTTACGGCTCGGCAACGAATTCAGGATGCGTGCTGGGTCGGCGTGAACGTGACCGGCTAGCGACGACTCTCCTCCGTCATAGCCGCTACCAGAACTCGCTACTCTCTGCATTTCTTTCTCGTATTCATCATTCTGATCGAGACTCCAGCCTGATCTGGTTACACTGTCGACAGCGTAAACGGGTGTTTCATTCCACGCACGTTGTGGTACGTCCTGCCGTGGGCGCTTCTCTGCTGCAGAATGCCCTTGCTGCTTGTCCCTGTTCTGGGCACTGCTTCCTCTCCTGGCAGATTCGTCAAAACTAGACTTGTACGTGCTGGATGAAGCAGACCAATGCCGACGTCCAGGACTGGATGGGCATAGTACCCCCTGACCGTTGCTGACAGTATCTGAAGTGACATCATAGTTTGAGGTTAGTCTTACACCACTGCTATGGCTGTGATCGTCTTCGTTCGCAGACCTGAGTTGCTGTCTGGCTGGGGATTTCCCTACTGGCCTACTTCCCACAGAAGAAATGCGTGGTGTTGAGCCTCGCCGCCGGTCTGCATGTTTCTGCCCCAGCGCCGTGGCATGGGATGAACTGGTCCTATCTACCACGTCATTTTCACCACTATAAGTACTGACCACCAAACCATGCCTCTCCCTAAAGCTGCTCTTCTTCTTGGTATGTGTCACCCTGGGTGACGGTGACCTGGCAGCTGGCTTCCTCAAGTGCTGCGGTTTCAGAGCGCTGCGAGTTCCAGCGCCCTTCTTCGGTGATTTCCGTGGCGGCTTTGCTCGCTGCACACTTGGCAGTGGCCATTGTTCGTACAGCTCTTCTCCATCAGCATTCTCCGGCTCCTTCCCTTGGCCTGGTGGAACCTCACAAGAAAATGTAGGCAATGGCTGATAGCCAGAGCCTGAGGAGATACTGGAACGGCCTGATAAACGAGACATCGTCGCGGTCCAGGGTCACATCCCTGCCTGCCGCAAGAAACAAAAAAAGAGCACAAAACCATGATAATTTGATCATTTGCAATACAACATGCTGTGATTCCTCAAGAACGTGACACATACCAGCACTTGAATGCATTGCGGGGTTGTTGTTTTTGCTTTGCTTGGACCATAAACTGAACTTCAAGCGGTTGAAAATGGGTGCTTTTGTCACCCTCCATGTGTTCTAGAGCACCACAGCAAGTGGTAGCAACAGTAACTAATATCCTGCCAGTTGAGTTGCATCTCGCTCATATTAGAGAGGTTCCGCACAACGTAAAGTTGAGCAACTTTACGTTAGTGGGCGGGAAAAACCCGTGAATTCGCGAGTTTGCACTCCACTTACGGAAAGTTGACTACGGAGAGTACGTAGATAGGGCTCTGATAACGTAGCTGGTCCGTAAGTGGATTGGGGTACAAATTTATGACTCTCTCCCCAGGTCGATCTGGTCGTACACTGCCGCGTTCGGAGTTGTCAAGGGCAGCTACGTGATTTGAAAACTCTGTATGGCGGAACCCAGATGCGCATGCAGTTTACGTAAGACTTTCCGTAGATCAACTACGTTTTTTACTAACGTAATTACGTTATGCGGAACCTCTCTAATTATGGTCGCAAAGTAACGTTGGTAAAGGTGCAGTTTAGAGGTTCCCAAATTATTTCGCACTTTCCCAGTGTTGTGTACTGTTACGAGTGCTTTCTGTGTACCTGAACCCCAGAAACCTTGCTGCGTGACAGTACACAGAACACTGGGAAAGTGCGAAATAATTTGGGACCCTAAACTGCACCTTTACTCGTACCGTAACGTTTATAGTTTGCTTCCGAACTTCACATGATATCAGCCAGTTTTACGGGAAAGGTGACTGAGCTTATTGTACATTGTACACAAATGCACGTGGTAAGAAAATATCAACCACAAAGCATAGTGCTGATGTCAGTGAAGTAGTGGCACTCTCAAGAAAGATTTTCATCACAGTCATTTGCTCAATATCGTGACGGATGAAGTCACCTGGGCTTCAACAAAAGCGGTCTAAAGCTCCCAGTTTTACAGTTTACACACCGAACTTCCGCAGTAGAAGCAGAGCTACAGAGAGCCTGGTTACTAGTACTTACCGATACTTCGGAGGAGTTCCCGCTGGTGAAGGGCCACTCGACCTTAGACGGCAAGATGCAATGTCGAGCCGAGTGACAAAAGATAAGGTAGAAATAAGCCACAATGTCAATGGGACTGTGGAGCAGCTTGTCGGATCGTTCTGTGGATACTGATCCACCTTGACTTGGAGAGCAACAAAAGGAAAGTTTGGGTTGGGCCTCAAGTAACTTAGTTTCTCTTTCGTGAAGGTACTAAACCGGTAAGTAGAAGCAATTAGTCAGCTTTGAGCACGACTTGGTTGTGTTGGTGCCACTATAAAGTCGATTATTTTGAGTTGAAGCTAGCCCTGGCCCTAGCCAGCGGGGGTTACTTGGGCGTCGGAAGCTATGTTTACGAAGCGAAGGAAAGAGTTTATTCAGTGAGTTTGACCCCTACGCCCTGGGGTCAAAGGTCGGTGAAGTCGAGAGTCGAGATCTGCGAAATAATTCGAAAGGTCGCAAGACTCTTGATCCATGCGCATGAAGCTTAGTTCATGCATGCGCGCATCGCAAGGACTACACCGATAACAACAGCATTGACGTCTCTTGTGCGAAACTTACTTACACAGAAGATCAAAGAGGGCATGCAGATATTCATTCCATCCAAAGCCCTGAGGCTATGCCGGGGAGACCCAGCCTGTGGTCACCTGAGTGCCAGGAAGCTGTTGACAGGAAGCAACGTGCCTGGCGACGTCACCGATCTTCGCCCAACAATGCACACCTGGCTGCGGCTGGCCTACTCCGGCTATGGCAACAGGTGAAGCAAAAAACTGTCTGCGCAGAGCCAAGCAAGCGCACACTACCAGTATCCGCCGAAAGATAAGAGAAGGTGCCCTTTCCAGCCGACAATGGTGGACAGCCGTCAAGCGAGCAGGTGGGCAAGGACACCGCTCTGCAGACATACCTGTTCTGCCGCGTCGAACGGAAATGAGTACACCACGTGCAGCGAAAAGGCCGAAGCATTCGGGCAGTACTTCTCCGCAAAGTGCAGTCTTGGTGACAACGACTTGCAAGCCAACAGCCTCCCTCCAGTCCGCTCCCGATCAGAAGCTCAACTCAGCAATGTCCACCGTTTCGGCCAAGCACCGTTTAGCGGAAGCTGAGGCAACTCCACCCCGCCAAAGCCACGGGTCCAGACAGCATCCCCGGGCGTGTACTCCAGCAATGCAGCAAAGAGCTGGCTGTACCAGTGTCGCGGCTCTTTTTGCAGGCCTTCCACCAAGGCCGGCAACCTACAATGTGGAAGACGGCAATGGTTGTGTTGGTGCACAAGAAAAAATCCAAGTCTGATGTCAAGAACTACCGCCCGATCTCCCTCCTCTCTATTCTGTCGAAAGTCATGGAGGCCATTATCAACCACTCAATCCGACAGTTCCTGGAGGCACACAACATCTTATCGAAAAGTCAGTCTGGCTTCCGCAGCCAACTCGGCACCCAGGACATACTGGCTCACGCTACTCAACTACCAATGGAGTCGCGTTGCAGCCAGAGGTGGGGTGGTTAGAGTCATCGCAGTTGATGTGGCTGGCGCATTCGACCGCGTCTCTCATGTAGGTGTTTTGCACAAGGCACAATGCTATGGTGTAACTGGCCCACTTCTCGCTTGGTTGAGGGATAACCTGACTGATCGTCACTTGCGGGTTGCAGTTGGAGGTGAACTTTCCAGTCCGTACCCGACCAAAGCTGGCGTGCCGCAGGGCAGTATCCTTGGTCCTACCCTGTTCATCCTCTACACCAATGATGGCGAGGACCACCTCCCACCAGGTATGGAGGTAGCAGCCTACGCTGACGACACCACTCACTCTTCCACTGCCTCACATCAAGAGCTGACATCGATTGTGGCTCTGAGCTCCTCCAGCAGGGCATTGATGCGTTTTCCCGTTGGGGACATAAGTTAAGTGGAGGATCAAATTTGAGCCCTCCAAGACGCAAGCTATTTCTATAGGCCACCATCGCCAGCCCTGGGAGCTCCCTCGAGCAACATTTGATGACACACCGGTCAGTGAAGAGAGTCGGCTGAAACTCCTGGGAGTCACCTTCAACGACACCCTGAGCTACTCCTTCAACCTCTGCTCCCTAGCTTCCCGTGCTAACCAGCGGATTGGCTTCCTGAAGCGAGCGTCTCCCATTCTGGACGCCGAGAGCCGTCAGCGCGTCTACAACGGCTTTGTGCCACCCACACTCGAGTAGTGCCCCTTACTTGTAGTGTGGTTGGGCTCACCCTCGTCCCATCTTAAGGGGGTCCGGGTCTAGGTTTTATTTTTTGCACGTGGCGTGATTGGCTATCACCAATGCACCATAGCCTCCATGCCTGGTTGCAACGCTAACGCCGAGACCCCTGGTCGGTCGCGTTGCTCTCTGTACATCGGCACGTCGTCCCTACATCCCCTGTGTCTTGTTTTTATGTTTGTCTCCACATGTCTCTTTGTAGGGCTGTGTTCCCAATAATAATAAAATAATAAATAGCCTCTTTTCTTGTATCTGTCAGAAACTCAGAAAAGCTGCCAATAATGTGATAATGGTGATTCAGATTGGACCGAAGGTTTGGTCTGATGGCCTGCTGGGTGCCTGTCAAAGCATTATGATTGAGATTCGTAGTCGCAGATTGCCTCATTCTACTCGCCGGGCTGCCGCCTTCAGTCGTAGTCTTGACTCTTGCTTTTTTTAGTCTTGGCACGCGTAGATACGCGCACACGGCACAGACGTAGACGACGTCATTGTACCAAGACTGCATGCAATTCGCAAGAGTGCCTGGGGGGGGGATACTCTTGATTGTACCAAGACTAAGGCAAGAGTACATCGGGGGTTATGTACTCTTGATTGTACTACTGCGAGTACTGTACTAGCGCCAGATACTGAGATAGCTACCTGTCCTGGTCTACCGCGCCCCGGTGGGTTCGTCTCACATGCATGGCCAGCGATCTGATCTAGCGACTGAGTGAGTGTAGATCTACGAGTGCGTGGCATGCACTGCATGCATGACACTTGCCGTTTGACGGATCCGCTAACTACGTCATATTCATGGCACAAATGATTATTTTTGCGCGCTTATGTAACCATAACTGTTGGCGATATTTTTATTCTCCTCTTTGAGTTTGATGCTAGCGTTGCAAATAAGAACAGAGAAAACTGGTCATTGACGAGAAATTGAAATTATGGAACAAGATTGGAAGAAAGAACTTTGATACTCTCGATGACAGTTGTCGATTCTTTGCCTTCTCGGCATGAGCTTCCAGCACTTTCCAGATGCAGCGAACCCTTTCTCGTCTGCGAGCAATATCAAACGCAGTCAAATAGACTCGAAACAGAATCAACCTCAACTTGCTACTCTCAGTGGGAGGAATTTGGGCAACCCGAATCCTGAGAACGTACCTCGAATTAGTGGTACTAGTAATGTGATGTACCGCCGGTATCGGGCTGACAATGATGATGATGCTGCTGTGAGTTCGTCTGCGAATTTGCCGTCGAGCGGAAGGGATCCTTTGTTTCCCAATACATCTGGAGCTCATGGCTCTGCCTCAGCGAATTATTATGGAATTGGGTCGTCCTTTGGCAACTCGGCTGCTTCGTCGGCAACAACACCATCCAGCAGCCAATCGATAGCAAGTGGAAGGGCACTTCCCGGTTTCATTTCGTCATCATCTGCCTCTGCCCGTGGTGCAGCTTCTCAAATGTCCAGCATCACCAATGATTTGTCCCATTTCTCAATATCAAGTAGTGGTGCCAACCCTCAGGCTGGTTCCAGTAGCCACAATTCCAGTGTATTGTCCAGCCTCCCTGGTGCTACAGCTACCGCAGATAGGACGGACAGGACTGGCAATTCCATCTCCTCTGCATTCTTGTCTGGAAATCTCCCACAGCCTAGGCAGGTGGCAGGTTCATCCAGAATTGTGAGTGCTGGGCAAGCGCAGCGGGGAACCAGTTCTACGGCTGCAGGATCTATGAGGCAGCCAGCCCTTCCACGCATGAATTCGTTTCCTGCTACGTCGGTCACTGGCACCACCGGCCTGTCTAACAGCACACCGTATTACGAGTCAACTGATGCTGAGTTCCCAGTTCTGGGTCGTAACGGTCGACGTGGTAGTCAGAGCAACGTCGGCGTTGTCAACCCCTCGGGACAGTCCTCGTTTCCTGCGGCCACGTCTTCGGTCACGACTCCTTCCAACCAGCGACGACCTATTTACGGCATGTTGACCAAGTCCAGAGACAGCGAGTTTATGATGCACAATGATGACTTTCCTGCCTTGTCTACTGGAGGCAGTGTATTCCATCAGGGGGAGCGAAATGTCCTTGCGGACGGAAAAGCATTTTCGTTTTCAACATCGCTGAGAAGCCTCTCCGACTCTGTGCCATTGGTGAATAATGTCCCCGGTGACACAGGACGAGAAGGTGGTAATGCCCGGTCACCTACTGCAGGGATCATAGGTCAGAAGGTGAAGCCAGCCGGTATGCAATCTCTCCGATCTAGCTTGAGTACTAACGGACGGCTGTCACCCTCTCCACCTCCTCCCAGTGGTATACATATCTCAGCGGAGGGCATTGTTTCCAACATTCCCGACGGCATGGTCACTGATCAGTTCGGCCTCATTGGGCTCCTCTCGTTCATCCGGGCGGCTGAGTCCGAGCCGAACTTAACAGCTCTAGCTCTTGGGTCGGACCTGACCAGCTTGGGACTAGGCGTGACGCAAAACGAGACTTTGCACTCCTCTTTCGCGTCACCATTCTCCGACGGTCCCAGTCGGCCGCAGGACATTGACTTTCCTGTTCCAACAGAGTATGAAGTCAAGCATCTCCTGGTGGAAAAGTTGGCCCCGATCAAGCTGCATCGCTACTGTGAGGATCTACTGTTCTACCTCTACTACCACAGGTAAATACGCGTTACCTTGTTTGTCATTCTACATTGTGTGGTGATGGTGCCTTCAATCTATAAGCGGCTGCAGTGCCTTGCATGAACTTTCACTATACTTACCGTGTTTTATACTGTCCACATGGAATTATTTTGCACACCAGGCATGGTAAACGAAATTATACAGTAGAATCCGCATAATCCTGCATACCAGTATGCAGTGCTGCCAAATAATTTTCGCCCGAAATCTGACACATTAGCTTTACCGCTAAGCCATAAAGCGGGATTCACAGAAGCTTTTTTGCGATGCGACACGCGATGCGACAGGCGCGAAACCGGGAAAACCCCAAATCGCAGCCTTGTCGCACCCCACGCAACTGCCGCAACTGGGCCATCGCAGGCCATCGCAGAAGTTGAGCTTGGCTCAACTTTTGCGATGCGATGCGACAAGCGATTTGGCGTACGATTTTGACCTTTTCTACAGCAAAGTTGTACAAAGGTTCAAGAGTTGCCTATAAATTTGTTCAAGTTGTATCAAACCGCGCGAATATCATGGTGACGTAGCAAGATTTTGTCGTATCACTGACTTCTTCTGTGAATGGTATTTCGCGAGTTCGCATCGCACGCGTCCGTCGCAGATCGCGTCGCATCGCGTGTCGCATCGCAAAAAAGCTTCTGTGAATCCCGCTTAACCCTTTATGTACCGCGCATCTAATGTATGCGTAGGGTACTCCTCGTCAATGATGGACCTATAGGATAAAATCTAGACGCATTTTGTATGTGCAAGTTATGTTTTTCTGAATCTATAATAATGAATGGGTCCATTTGTCAACATATTGTAATCCAGCATGCAACTAATAGTAGGGGGCATACACGGAATACCCAATTATGAGCCAATTGTGCGTAATTCTGACAATTGAGATCGCTACATTTGAAATAAAGTATAGATGTATCAGGGACGACCATTGGGACGCACAGTGACAAAAGGATACCACAGGCACTAGTTGCATGCATAAACAGCACCAGAAGGGGCGGAAAACGGATGTATCGTCTAAATACCAGACGCAAACAATTGCGTCAAATATTCAAATTATTGCAATTATTTCAGATTTGAGATATGTAGTTTTTGCTGATCTACTCACGTCGACCGAGGATTGGCGATTGAGAAGACAAGAAATAGGTACTAGGGGATGACCTCCGCCTGCCTTGGTGATTTTATGCCATCGCTGCCCTCCCTCTCGCTGCTACTTGGAGAGCGAATGCTGTGATGGCTTCAGCGATGAAAATTGGCAGTTTCGATTCAGATCCTGAGGAGATATCGCTGCTTCAGCTCTCTCCAGGTGTCTACCACGACTAGAGGATGTCGATACTAGCTGGAGAAGGCTATATCTCTATTAGCAGCAGCGTGACGGAACGAAACACGATCGAAATTGGCAAAATATATCGCAGAGCGCTGCATTTGCGAAGCGCACTTTTCGCCGCGATCGGTCTCCATACTTTCAAATGGCGACCTACCCATATCATACATCAACATTTTCAGTGGGATCTCAGCTGTCCACTGCAAAAAACCGCGAGTCAATCAGAGAAAGGACGCCGCCGAACGGCGCGTCCAAGTGCGGCGCGCCGAACCGTAAATATCTTTACGGTTCGAGATGGTCGCGGTACATAAAGGGTTAAGGCTGGCCGCATGGGGCGAATTTTTCCTCTCCGTAATTTTTTTGCAAAATATCGCCCAAAATGCGAAGAAAATTCGCTTCGTTGCCATGGTAACCAACATGGCGCCCAGAAGTTGTCATGAATTTTGTGCGCGAGTGTACTGTATTCATTGCCAGCATACATGTACATGTAGTTGTTGTTGTACAGTCAGTGCCACTGTACCCGTAACTGGCACAGTACTGCTAGTGCTAGCCTTTTTAGAAGCACGTGTACAGTGATTTCTGCGTTCAGTTGCGCTCAAAAGTGAAAATACAGGACTTCTGCATAGGAAAGTACGAGTACTGACCCCTGACATTTTGGCTGCTTTTCGCGCAATTCGGACGCATCCTTTTTCGGACCGGTTTTCGGAAGAGCCTTCAAAAACCGGACACTGTCCGAAAAACCGGACGGTTTGGCAGCACTGTATGGTACTTGTTGAGAGTGGTTTTAATTCTGCATATCTGATCCAAACCTGCTAACTATGCATGGCTATGTAGCACCGAGTATGCTTCTCATCCTCTTTCACGCACCCTCGCAATCCACGTTTACAGTCGTACCTGTCCTCCTTAGTGACTGCATGTTGGTGCATCAACTACTGGTCTTCCTAGATAGTTTGTCTGTGTAGTAGTATGCTGGGTGGGCGTCGAAGATCATCGGTGGCCCACTAAGCTGGTCTCCTATTGCCGCCATCGTTGACGACTAATTCTGCTCTGTGTATCCACTCGTGTCTATGCCTGATTTGTTTGTAACTGCCAGCTGTGGAGATGTACTGCAGCTGGCCGCATCTGCCGAGCTCTACCAGCGAGATTGGCGTTTTCACAAGGAGGAGCGAGTGTGGCTCAAGAGAGTGCCGGGCATGGAGCCGTCGGTCAAGACTCAGACATACGAACGAGGCCGCTACCAGGTGTTTGAGGTCAGTGCTTGGCGCTCCATGACGCGGGAAATGCACATCCAGTACGACGAGCTGGAAGACTGCCCACGTTTGCCGGGCGGCGTGCCGTAGTCCGGAGCTAGCTCGCTGACCCCACCAAGCGCAACACATGTAAGTAGTATATGTATATAGTGTACATTCAGGCGGGGGCAAGTGCCAGCTTGCAGGTGCCCGCTTGCAGGCCAGCTTGGTGCTTCTTGACGCTTCTTGACGCGGACGTGTTTCGCTGGTCCCTCTTCTTCTTTTCCCCTTCCTCGATTCTATCTGTGTGAGACAGTAGTATATAATTATAGAGAGAGAGAGAGAGCTTGACTGTGCGCCGTACTGAACGTTGGGTGGTGTCGAGTGCACCTATCTTGTGTACATCTCTTTCCCACTCCTCTCCTTGTTTTGTTTTCTTGTGGAGGTGGGTAATTGTTTGTTTTTTTGTTGGTGTGGTGTTGTAGTTCCATGCCCGTTATAGAGAGTAATGCGCTGCATTATTGAAATGAATACTCTGCTCGTTGAGCTTTTTCTTGCATCCCCACCCCACAAACACACATGCACTTTCCCTTGCATCATGTCGTGTACATAGCTAGTCTAGTCCATAGACGACGTGTGTAGGAGCATCGCAGCTGGTTGCGTAAGACTATTTCATCATACCGGTCATGATACCGTAGCCCTAGCATTCCTCCATGGTCCCAACTAAGTCATAATAGAGCATTACATTGCCAGCATACTTACCTACTCTCACACCATCATACATCATACACACATACAACATACATCATACACGCGTACATACATACGTACGTACATACATACATACATACACCTACCGGCTACTGAGTACTGTCTACTACGTACAATACAATACATACATGGGGCATACATTCCGACGCTCCATAGCAGGCAGTATAACTTTGACACGCTGCTTGGCCTGTCTCCAACTGCCCAACGATGACATCATAGTAACCATGATCATGTATAGCACACTTGCACATACACCCACACACATACTTTTAGCCCATCTATCCATCCACCCATCTACATTAATATTTTGTTTGTAGATCTTTACTTGGCCCGCTTGTTTAGCTGTTCTGTCATCGACAGAAGAGATGCTGTAAAAACATGTCATATACTGCATGAAAACCATGCTTGCCTGATGTCCTTTTCGGCTCTTTGTACATCCACTACTCGTCTGGGCAATGCCATGCTTTTATCCAGCTAGTCCCAATCTCATCATAGAACTGTATTGGCAATGTTGGCTGCTGCAGTTGCCTCCTGGCTGCTGGTCTTGTACCATATGTTCCCCAATCACTGCATGTCCATGTAAGGCGTCAAGTTGGCGATACTTCACGCATAAATAGTTCCTATGCTTTTTTGTCTCTTCTTTCTATACTTGTTTTCTTATCACGCTGCTGCCGTAGTTCCATGTCTTTTCTCTTTTTTTCTTTTTTTTTGAACAAAAGTGATTATTGTACAACCCGTTCCTTTACCCCAGAGAAAGAATATTTCATTTGAATATTTCATCTGAATACTTTCATGTTGTTCTTCCCTCAATTGTTATTCCTCCCCTCTGTCTTGAAACTTTATTTGGTGTTGATTTGATCTGACATAGTACTCTCCTCATATATTTTTTTCCTTGGCCAAGGGAGTGGATGTGTGGTGGTTTCTATCTCGTTTGCTGTTTGTTCTGGCGGTGCTTGCAAGAGTGCACGTCCGTGAATATGTGTGTGTGCAGCCTGAGCCTAACCTGTCTGTCCAGTGGCAGTGGCCCGCAACAGGTCGGGTCCGAGACTGGGGCAGTTTTCCTGTGCACCCCCCCCCCCCCCCCCCCCCATGCAGTGAGGACCTGTTCTGAGCTTTAAAATGATACATGTGCATGCATGACCTGTGACTGTGCTCCTGTTACTTACATGTAGCTGCAGTATGCCTGCAAATCCCACACATGCAGGGGTTGGTTTTTGGGAAGCTGCTCTGGCAATGCATCTTTGTATACGGGTTCTATTCTTTTCCCCTGCATGCACGTGACTGGTGTAGAGTGTACAGAAAACTGCACGGGTTGTGGTCCAGGTGTTTGAATGTGCGTGTGATTGCGGCCAGCGCCTGCCTGGCTAGCCAAACTCGTGGCTGAATGGTGTATCATGGATTTGTGCGTCCATCAGAATGTGCAATTCATCACTTTCCTGCTTGTTTTTTTTGTTGTGCTGGAGACTCAGCAGTTATGGCATCTGCTCATACTACATGTACTTCAAGTAGTACTTAGCACACACAAACACACACACACACCAATCAAAACAGATACAACATGACGTGTTCTTGAGATGGCTGCACTTGCAGTCTGGCACCAGGTGAGTGGCATGCAGGTATTGGTATTATTATGTATAATGTTCCTTGCTTGGTTTTGGACAAGTGTGATCTACGTACATGATATAGCATAGCTGGCTTGTAGTTCCCTGTTACAACTTGCGTTGCTGATTGCGAATATTAAATGCATGATGAGCTGGCAGACACCAATAGTGCATGTCCAGCAGAAAACCAATTTCAGTACAGCAAAATTAATGCAAGCGAAAGCAACATCTGACTAGATTTAGAACATGCCGTCATACAAGAGTACATAACATTTGTTTTCACTATCACGATAACACTGCTAATAAGCATTACTGTGATGTAGGAGATTAACCAGCCATGGTGGAAATGAGGTATGTGCACATTGTACAAGTGATGCCATCCAATGGACTTTGCATCCAAGATGACTGGCGCACACTGGGGGCATATAGATACAGTACGTAAGCTCATGTTGCCTACAGTACCCCCCCCCCCCCCCCCCCCCCCGGGCCATTGACTGAGGTGATGCCTGATGGGGCAGTGAATAATTATTTCCATAATGCAGAAATCAAAAAAATCTCGAAAGTTGTCAGACCTCAAGCTCAAGACACTGAGTGCAAAACTGAACTGCATGGGAACTGCATATAGTCATGTTCCTGAGCAGTAACGCTGCATCCTGAATGAAATGTAGCGAATACACTTGAAAACTTGAAAAGCCAGCGAAACTTATGTGATTGATGATGATCAACAAACAGCTGCTCCTTGATAATGAAAAAAAGAAAAGGGCAGTTCATCTTCGTGGCAATTGGGCAACAGAATTGCTGCACAGAAAGATGTTTATAAAAGTTAGGGATATGCAGCAAGCAAAGCGCAGCCAGAGTAATATCATAGCCACCAGCTCGCATGGTGTGCCATGAACTAATGGCCCGTCGAGGTCATGCATGCTAAGCACAGCCATCAAGAGTCAGATCCACAGTCAAACTGTCCACCAGCCAGCCATGCGTCATACTACAGCGAAACAGATTCCGCAGAAACGGACACCGGCTGTAAACAAATAATTGAAAGTACACGCGGCAAGAGAGTGCATGCATGAGTGTGCAAGCAAGCACTCACATGACAAAGTTGTCAGTAGAGCACAGCAGCAGGCTACAAAGTTCCCAAGCATGTTTAAATCAAGCAGCAGCGCAGAACAGCAGTCTGCTCCGGGTACCCTACTCGGGGACTGTAGCATGCACAGTGTGCAAGACTATTTCAGGTATTTCGCTAACTTCCAATAGCAGGCGCAAGCTACACCGGCTGCAGCTTCTATGCCGGGTGGAGGTTTCAGGGTTGGAGATTTGGGGGGCTGAAGATTATGGGCTGGAGCTTTCAACTGGTGGAAGGTGGTTATAGAGGCTGGAGGTTTCAGAGCTGTACCTTCACTTACGCACTCAGTAGCACAGTGATATTAGTACCCTCCGGGATGGTTGGTAGTTGCTTGAGGGGCGGTGAAACTAGCGCCGGTTCATCAGCACCCTGATGCAATCGCTTCAGCCGTTGCTCTTTCCAGTTGCTCAGTGCCGTCTGCAGTGCTTCCCGTGCTTCGCTAGCCGACTGAAAGGAACTGCAGAGTACACGTTGTTTCTCGGCTTCAAATTCCACCGTCGCTGGTTCATCATCCGGGTCGTGAAAGTCTTCAAGATAGTCATGCTTCAAAGCTGCCTCGACCGAAATACGCTTCCCACGGTCGATGTTCAGCATCTGTTGCAGCAGATTAATGGCATTGTTATCCGCGCCTTTGAAGACTTCTTCGAATGGCTGGTTCCTTGGATTGAGGTACAAGAAGCTGTTTGCATGGCGTCGGACTGTGTCATCGTCAGGGAGGCGCTCCAACACCATTTCTGGTGAATGACCAGCAAGTAATAGGATCTGTGCAAGCTGACTGACGTGGTCGGTCTCACGGAACAGAGGCCGGCATGTTATCAGTTCGGCCATGATGCAGCCTACGGCCCACACATCCGCAGCCACATCAATCCTCATAGTGTTGTACACATGATTGAACTCCAACGGAGTGTGAGGCACACCACTGTCCGACGATGTGCTGTGAGATCTCGTTTGCCGGACAGACGACGAGGACGGGGGCGCGGACCTATCCGCCGGTGCTGACAGATGGTGCTGGAACATTGGTGTGGACGCCGCGGAGTGGCTGATATGCTGCCTGATGCCCAGGTCAGCGATCATCACCTGGCAGTCCTCATCCACCAGAATGTTACTGGGTCTCAGGTCAGAATGTACAATCCTAGCTGAGTGCAGGTACTTGAGGCCGCGCATGATCTGGTACACGATGAATCGCACATGCTTCTCGCTCAACGTCTCTGAGCGGATTATGGTTTGCAATGTACAGGATTTCGGATTTCTCGACGTGACAACGTGCAGGTAGCAACTCTCCTGCTCCAGAGTGCAGGCAAGGGCATCGCCGAAACAATCCACCAAGCCCACGACATTCTCATGCTTGATGTGCATCAGCAACGTCAGCTCAGAGTACAACCTCACTGCCTGCTCCGTGCGGCGGAACGGTCGCGAAAAGCGTTCCAACGTGACATGGTCACCGCTGCGAGTGTCCAGCACGCTGCACACTGCCTTGCAGCACGAACTCTGCGCAGCGAATTTGGTCGAGCACTGCGTCCGAGATACGTACTCCAAGTCCTTGAAATGGCCAGGTAGTGAATCCTTCCAAGGGATCGGCTGATCGGCCGAATTGGCTGCGCACAACGTAGCACCCGTTTCTCCGTCAACGCTCTTTGCACTTCCCAGGCGTTCGTCATCTGTTCTCCTTTTCAGGGTTTCGAGACTTTCACCATTTTCTTCTGACATGATGCTTTTCTGGCTACAAATCAAAACACAAAAGGCAAATTGTTGTGCCACAAGCCTGTTACAGTGTTAGAACACCCCGCGCCGACTTCTGACAGAAATAAAACAAAATTGATGACAAAAGAGGCCTGGCCACTCGCTCCGGCTGATCCGTCCGAACGCTACATGTACTGCCAGCAGTCAGTCCTAGAGAAAGACGTCCTTTGCTAGCACCAGCTGTTTATGCGGCTAAACACCTCCGCAGAAATCCATGTTACCTAATCGTCCTTGCACACATTCGAGTGTACAACCAGACTTACTACCGGACACTTATGTATAAAACTAAAGGCTACATAACGTCATAAGCAGTGAGCTGGCCAGGTGAAGTGCGAGCGTAGCCTGTGCCCGCAGTGTTAGCGTACATGGACTCGTGAGTGTACCGATGGAGCCGTGTTCAGACTTCTTGAAAAACTAGCCATATGCCCATAGCTGATTCATGAAAATAGTGGATTAGTGCTCCATCAATGGACCATCGACATTCTAATCGTGTTCTATGCATGCATTCTTATCTGTACGATCGTAGATCTACGAGTCGAGTAAGAGTTCAGTTGTAATGCACGTGACGTGAGCGAGTGTCCCGCGACGGGCGGCGCCCTTGACTCGAGTGCTATGCTCCATCCACGCCCGCGCCCAGTATACAAGTACATGGTATATGGCCTGGCTCAGGCACTCCACTCTCCAGATGTACAAGTAATGGCAATGGCAATACTAGTTCAAAACTAGTATTACTAGATAAACCTTCATGCTGTCAATCCAACAATATGCGTAGTACTAGCATGCAGCATACTTTCATTCAACTGCACGGCGCCGTGCAGAAGCGTAGTTACATGTACATGTAGTTCTAGCCTCCACCCATGTCACAGTTTGCGCTGAATCAGCTTGGACTTGCGATGTAAAATAAAAGCAATACAATACAACAACAAAATACAATACCCTGGACTCACTGAGGAGTGACGACGGTCCGTCAAAGGCGGCACGTACAATCATGGTTGGGGAACCAACTGGGTACACATGTACCTGGCACAACCATTGCAACCCGGTCAGAGCCGGGTCCGTTCAAGTTCGGCTACTGCATGTACACCAGCCTATGACCAGGGAGTTGTAAAATGTTCGGGCTCCCTGATGTACATGTACATATACATGTATTCTCAACCTGGTCACAAGTGACCCCGTGTTCTTTTTCCAAACGGGTCCAAATACCCCCCCCCCCCCCCCCCAACCGGGTCGCTGATCCGGCTGACCTGGGCTCTCAGCAGACACTGGGGTGGTAGAGGGCAGGGTGACAGTTTAGTAAAAGAAAGATAATATGTGTCAAGACTCAAGTCTTTGCAAACAGCGATGGTGCTTTATTAGCCTTTAGAAAGGCAAACGGGGCCAGCATCACTGAAGTTGGTATCCCTGGTGATATCTGTACTGGGCAAACACTATAATGCAGTGCTCTCGGAGCAGACATTTCATTGGCTTTTATAATACTGGCAAGTTCAACTGCTGAAGGGTGAATTCCCTATAACCCTGCTTATTGAGCCAGGGTCAATCAGGGAGCCTTTCTTGTAGGTTTTCCAAGTGGATGGTTCGACATCCTTCTCATGTGCTCCACACAGCAGTCGCGTGAGTCAGTCAAGTGTCCGCCAGCCAGCGGGAAGTGCAAGTTTAGGAGCAGGCATGTTCTTAAAAAAGCGATATTACCAGTAATCATCACTTATGATTTCCGAGTTCTGTTCATGTGGAAATAATAATAGCAATAGTGATGTAACGAATAATCGATTATTCGAATTTCCTCGATCTCTTGGACCTCAACGAATATTCAATCAGATAAAATCTGAAAGAGTAGAACGCAACCTTTCAAGAGTAGAGCATCAAAAGTCCTGTGTGTGGGGTCATTGTAACATTGGAAACGGCATTGCCCTGGGCCTCCACTCCCACCAAGGGATAATGATAGGAATTGCCCAAGGGCACAGCCTCATCTGTAGTGTTAGTTGGGTTGACGACAACTACACCTTTGGTGAATTGACGAACAAAGCTTGCATGACCAGCTGGTTGATATTTCGTGACACCTGCAGGAGGGTAAGTCTCTGTTGGTGTGCCGATGTCCAAGTAAAACCAGTCATCAATATGGACAAAGCGTGTTCCATTGGCCTGTGAGAAGGAAGAATATAGTCCCAGATACCAGCAAAGGTGTGACAGCATACAGTAAGCAGGAAAAATCGGGGCATGAAAGCCAGTGAGTAGTAACGTGCCAACCTTTTTTCTTTTTCAGATGACCGAAACGATGCAGGGATGATTGATATCAGGGAGTAGTACAATACTGTACTCCCTGGTTGATATCGGTCAGTTTTAGCGCACTATTTTTTTACGAAGGCAAATGTGGGGGGGGGGGGGCTGTTTCGTTAGGATGGAGCAACCATGAGGCCTTGAAGTAGCCAATCCCAAACACACCCCTCTCTTTGGTGGACAAATGTACCGACTCTGTAATATACATGTATGATAGATACAAGAGTACAGTACTCTTGCTAGATCGCACCATGCAAACATTTGAAACTAATGTACCTTGAAGTAAAATAATAATGCTACACCGATTAAAAGGGCTGGGAGGCAAAATTGCCATTACAATTTCTGGTATGGCCAGTAATCAAGGAAGCAAGTACAGTGTACACACGGTCGTAATTTCACATACACAACTATAGTAGAGGACTGCCACTTCTCTGTTGGTAGAAAGCAGAAGCGGGGTCTGGGGTTGTCCACTGGCTGGGAGGGGGGGGGGGGGGGGGGGGGAGGGGAGCGTCCCCCTTTGGACACCACTGCAGAAACGAAAGCATTTTTTAGTATGTCAAGGGCCCGAAACAACAGATTAATGCACTTTCATGAATAATCGTTTTCGGTCGATTTGTCGGAACCTGTTAATCGGAGTGCGTCCGAAAAATCGGAATGAACCAAGGGAAAGCCTTGATATTATGGATACCATTTCCGCTCTCATCGTATATGAAGTCACACGATGAGCTATCACTAATGACATACATGTAGACAGTGAGTGCAAAGCAACACATTTCACTTGGGAAAAATCATAATGATGCCGCCAAAAATGCGTTTATGGGAAAGAGTCAGCTTCCTGGATACCTCTATTAGTTTTCTTCTTTCAGAGTTTGAGCACAATCTAGTTTTTTTAAACAACAATTTAATCCCATTTCAGTTCATAGCCTCACTCAAGACCTTTTCAATGAGCTATCATAAGCGTAAATCGGACAATTCGTTGCAGAGTTATGCCGGTGCATTTCGTGGCATGGGTGCATGAAGTATTGACGTTGACCGAGGTCGGAAAATTTGAGAGGGATGCTTGAGCACCCAAAGCACCCCCCCCCCCCCCCCCCCCCCCTGGGTACACCACGGCAGATAGTCAGACAAAGAGATTGACAGATTGTCAGGCAGAGAGATAGACAAATAGTCAGACACAGAGATAGACAGATACTCAGACACAGAGATAGGCAGATAGTCAGCCAGACAGAGAGACAGGAAGGCAAAGGCAGCACAGTTCGGTACCTGATAGTACGCTGGTATGCCAAAGTGCGTTCTCGTCGATGGACCGGTGGCGGCCAGCAAGTAGCTGGCGTAAGCAAAATGCTGCAGCTGTGTCCTCTGCTCGCCCATGCCCTCCATGGGAAAAGACTCGCACCCAGCACTCGACATCATGGCAATTAGTGACAAGTTACTCTGCGATGCATTGCTGATCAGCTGGATATTTCTCAGCCAGCCGTCTGGGTCTTTGTATTCTACTACAAAATCCTCTGGGGGTCCACTGCAAGAATTAACACCAGGCTTCGTAGCCTGCAGGGTCCCTGCAAAAGCCTCCAAGTCGTATGCATCCAGAGGTCGGAAGTCTCCTGGACCCGGGATCAGGAAGGATCGACCATAAGTGAAGTAGGATGCTCCCACGTTATTTGCCAGAATTAGAGGAAAGAATCCCAGTGTTGCATGCACGGACTCAAACACTGCTTGAAGACGCTTGCGCTGAGCATTGGAAAATTCTTCGGCAGTGTAGGAAGCCTTGGTGGCAAAGTTCCAGTAGGCATCTCCATGCACCGGTCTTCCACCAACATCAGTAGCCTTCAAGACATGATCGGAGAAGCAGTCGAACCACGAGCCATTGTACCCCGCTGAAACTGCTTGAAGTGTGAAGTTGATGAGCACGGCGGACGCAAAGCCACTGGCTGGATCAATGTCGTACGTGATGGGACTGTCATTACGATCAAACACTTCACCAGGAAGACCATTGCCATGTTCACTCTTCCACAGTGAGGCTTCATCAATGAGCCAATTCTCTGATAGTTGCTGGCCAGGATAATTCTTATAAGATGGTCCCAACACACTCATATTCTTTGAGTGTGCAGCCGGTGATGTACCGTCAAAGCCCCGCAAAACTGTCACTTTCTGAATTGTCCCGTTGGCCTTAGCCAGCCTCGATACTTTGTGTCTTGGTGACTCGACTGACACAATTTTTGCTAGCTCGTTCTCCAGCCTCAAGTATGTTACATATTCATCTTTGGTGGATACATTCCCTGCGCTTGTGCTGGCAATCAATGGCGAATGCTTGTTGTCCAGAAGAATATCAAGCTCAGTGTCTTTCTCCGACACCTCTGCATCCAGCCATCCGGTACAGTAGTAAATCGTCGACAATCTTCCGCCATGCGTATTCTCTATACCTTTAGCACTGGCGATGTGACTATTGATGTACTGGACAACACCCATGCCGGGCCTAGTCTCGTGCATCAACTGCAGCCAATTGCTGGTGTACTCGCCGTGCAGGTAATCGAAGCTCTCCGCTATAGTCTTGATGTCGTCCGCAGTAGGCAGCGGTACGGCCTTGTTGTGCAGCGCTTCGCCACCAAGCGCCGCCAGAGGGTACCTAGGGTGTTTGGCATCACAAAGGTAAGTACTTGGGGCGACAATGCCGACCAGTGCGTGGACTAGAAACAAAAAAGGACGTAGTTGTACATTCGTCGAGCGAGCCATTCTTCCGCTGGCTAGAAAGTCCTCAGCTCACCACTGACACCAGGCTGAAAATCGCTCCTGGATTTCACAAGGTTTTCATTGTTGTATCAGTGTCAGTCTATCACCATGCTCACTGTATCAGGGGCAACAGGGAGTAGGACACATAAATATAAATTATTATAAATTAATATTAATAATAATACAATCATGTAGCTCAGTACGACAGTAGCTAGCTTAGTAGCTAGCTGGCTACCGGTATACCGGCTTATAACATAACTCATACCGGTACTTTTTTTTAGTTAGTTAGTTAGTTATAGGCTCTGACCGTACCGCTACTAGGCCTTGACGGATTATGCTAATACTTTCGTGAAATTATGCTTTTCGCATTGCTGAAAAAATTGCAGAATTATGCTATTTTTATGCTAAAAGTTATCATATTATGCCGCATTATGCTCACGTATGCTGCTAATGTATGATGGTTCTGTGCAAAATAACAGAGGAATTTTATTGTAGAGGGCGTTGTACTGTAGTAGCAAAAGTTCAACGGGGTCAACGCACCGTCCGACCTAGCTAGCTACGACCATCACTGATTGTAGTGGACTGGACATGTTATCAAGGGAGTCGTAAACCTACAACTTCCTAGTGCATCTACTTGTACTTGTACTTGTAGAACATGTACAACTATAATGGAATTTGATGCGAGCGGGCGGATTATTACAATTTTATGCGATTCGTATGCAATTTGCCTCAAATTATGCGATTATTCGATTTTGGTAGGAATTATGCGAAAAATTATGCTAGCATAATCCGTCAAGGCCTAACCGCTACAACTAAAATTATTCATTTTACTAGTAATTAATTTAAAGGGGAAGTTAAGGCAAAAATCAAAATTTTACCAGTTGTAGTCTTCGGGGTGCTGAGTCGAATGGTCTTGGTCCGAGAAAGCTGAGACGCTCCCTTCCTACTTGAATCCCAATCGAACTCGCGCACTTCCACCGAAACTGGGTGACTGCGCCCTACGAGATGGGGATTTGTATGCAAAATGTCACTAAAAGCGCCATTTCGTTCTTGTAAAAGCACGGATGACCGCGATTGGCCCATATGTTGTAGTCTTTTGGACGCTGGTTCGACTGGTTTTGGTCCGAAAAGGCTGCGATGCAGCGTTCGCCCCTAATTCCCAATCGAACATGGTTGAAGAAATGGTCACGTGCTCCTGGGTGCCAAAATCACCTGGTCACCACGCCAGCAGGCGACAACTTTCACACCAAGGTTCAACTCGAGTGACAGGACTGCACCCAAAAAAGGTCAAAACAGGCTAGTAAGTTGTACCCTGCAGGCACGGTGACCAGGTGACTGGTGTACGCAGGAGCACGTGACCGCTTGTTCAACCATGTTCGATTGGGAATTAGGGGCGAACGCTGCATCGCAGCCTTTTCGGACCAAAACCAGTCGACTCAGCGTCCAAAAGACTACAACATATGGGCCAATCGTGGTCATCCGTGCTTTTATAAGAACGAAATGGCGCTTTTAGTGACATTTTGCATACAAATCCCCATCTAGTAGGGCGCAGTCACCCAGTTTCGGTGGAAGTGCGCGAGTTCGATTGGGATTCAAGTAGGAAGGGAGCGTCTCAGCTTTCTCGGACCAAGACCATTCGACTCAGCACCCCGAAGACTACAACTGGTGAAATTTTAATTTTTGCCTTAACTTCCCCTGTAAGTTGTTGCATGAACTAATACAATCATGTACTGGGACTGTCATTACGATCAAACCGTACGTACTTGATTCTTGAACACTGCACTCCATGGATCCACTCTCCAGAGTCCAGACGCTACACGAGAGTCTAGTCCCGGCCAGTAGTCCCCCAGTACACATGGTACATGACTGGAGTATAACAGCACTGTAGTCAATAGTAGTACATGTACTGGGTTGAGACGATGGCCCCGCCCCGGCACCAGTGCAGTGGTCCAGTGCATGCACCAGGTCCAGAAGTCCGGAACGCATCGAAATACAATGACGTAGACCTACCCATCGGCATGGGATCCGGATGGTAAAACTGCGAAACAGAGACCGCTAGAATGTGAACCCACGTACGTCCACCCACCGCTCACGGGGTCGGATTTCAGTTGCCAGCACTAGTACTGGTAGATCTACATCATCACTCATCAGCATGATCAGGTACTACGTACAGTCAACTAATATTACTTCGCTAATAACGACTGCGGATATAACGACAATTCGCGAATAACGACAGAATTTCCATGCCCAGAGCAAAGTCCCATCCCACTGTAATACATAATAATGAGACTTCGGGTATAACGACACTTCGCGAATAAGGACACCTTTTTGATGCCCCGCCGAGTGTCGTATAACTAATTACTTCAAATATAAGCGAAGTTGACTGTAGATCTACAAGACTACATGCTATCACACTATCACACTATCACAGTACAGTCAGTATCAGTACCATGCGCATGGACGGTCACTCAGATTTGTGTTGGATGCCAGATTATGCATTTTGTTCAGCAAAAAAAAAGAATCATCGGGGGAGTCCCGAAGTCCCGGGGAATGTCTCCTGTCAGTTTCGATAACATACATTGTAGTCTATCTCATCATGACTCATGTTCCAGTCAGTTCGCGCCTATGTTTCGATACTTCGTCGAGACGGCTCCGTCTGCATTTCGATGCGATCGATAGTGACAAAGACTGAGTACGGATCTACCGCGGTGCATGCAGTACGGGTGAACCATGCACGGGGATGGTGAACAATTGGCATTGCAACGAATCGACGTCAGTTGTCACCTGCTCTGCGAGGGAATTATTTTGATGAGCTTTCATTCGTTCAAACTTCTTCCACTTTGGGCTCGGTTGTGTCAACTTCGTTCAACTGAAAACACTTTTAGAGGTTTCTCGTTCTCTTGAAAAGTCGATAAAGCAGAGTCTGTAGGCCAACTATCAGTGCTGCTAATAGCTTCGTACTACGTTCTACTGGTCCGCACAAATGGCCAGTAGATCTACCATAACGCGCTGCAGTCACTGCCACCAGTCACAAGGCAGGAGAAGCTATCCATCTTCCAGCGCTTGCACCTGTGCTGCTTCTAGACGCGACACGCAGCAGCAGCAGCAGCATAGCCGCCCCCGTCGCTCTCAGTCGCAAAGCCACGCAGGACACCACACTGAGCACCACCGGCGGCCACAGTACTCCGCAGTACGCAATCCGAATAGACCGATCCCCTTATTATACTGGGTTCGAGCACGGGGGCAACCTCACTCGCGATCGAGCTAGTTTTTGAACGTGACAGCATCTTTGACAGTGTGTTTCAGGTTTGTTTTGGAATGTCTTCTGCTTAGTTCAAGTAGTTTGCGATGGCTTCGAGCGGTGCTAAACCTCCTGCTGGTAGGAGCAGAGTCTCCGAGAGAGACATGGACTGTGATGCCGCTGCAGGATTTTTTCAAGGCGCGGGAGGGAACGATCTCGGGCCACAAACAGGAGTTACTCCAGAGGTGAGTTTTTTGTTGTTGAAATATTCGAATCGCGAATCGTGTTGTGAGATTTATTTTGTGCCTAGGCTACAGCAGACTATATTTCTTTCTCCTTGCGATCGGTGCTGAAGATAATAGTAACCTTTTTCTGGTCTGTCTTTTCCTCTCCAGAGCCATCTTCTATGAAGGTAACCGTGGTGCTGCCAAGTCACCAAGTCGCGATCAGCAGCCCTGAAGTGGAAAAATCGAATTTCCAACGATCTGGTTGGACATCAGCCACTAAAGTACTTCTGATTTGCCTGTAGTGACAACAGCAGCCATCCTTGGACACCTTGAAAAGACAGGAAAAGCCACTGGTGGAAGCGACTGCTATGAGGTGACGATAGCAGTGCAGTGGTGATCGCTGTTTTGTCAAGTCGAAGGGCTAGCCAACCCAGAGGAAGCATAAAAAAAACGATGAGCAGTGCGTGGTATTTGTTGAGCTAGAGGAGGACAGTGCAAACACATGGACGGAGTGGATGGTGTTTGAAGAACAGTGTGCTGTGTGCCGGCTGGTGGTGATGGTGGTCTTTGTCAGCATGTATTCGTGCTGCTTCTTGTGCTGGAACACTTCTCGCCCAGGAAGGCAGATTGCGTGCTCCCTGGCCCTCAGTTGGCTATGGGGCATTTGTTCCAGGAACATTACCCCAGAGCCAGTGATGAGTCGTACCTTTGAAAAGTCGAAGCTTGCTGTTAATCGCAAGCGTAGCGCAGTGGATTGCTCCCTCTTCGAAGCACGAGGGCCAAAGCTTGCCGCTGTCTGCAGCAAAGTCTGTGTGCGGTTCTTTCGAACCTATGAATATACCCCCCTACATGTTCAGAGTGAACTATTTTCTAGTATATTAACATCCTCAACCCGTCACCACCATGCGCTCTTGGCCGAACTAATGCACGAAGCATAAACACACCAGCACAGCAAGGACACTTCCGTTGACAGATATTGTTTACGCCTCTAGACCGCTGTTTTTTTTCTTCGAGCTCATCGTTAGAGGAGGATAGTAGCAGGATACTAATGATGATATAATATAAGATGATAGAAGGTTTATGGTCCGATATTGATGATTGAAGATCTAAGAAAGCAATGACAGTGATTGCGAAATGCATAATATTATCATGATTATATGCCAGTCTGGTAATGCGTTGTACTAGTGGACAGTATTGAAATCATCACTGCATTCGATGCAAATATTGGTATACCTTTGGTTTCAGTATTGGAAAAAAAGAGTAAGAGAACCTGGTTGATTTGGTTGCATCTGCGACTGGCTACCGGGTGTTGTGATCAGCAATTTTACCATGGGAGAAAATAAGAGCGCAAGGATCTGTTGGGTCTTGTTGTGCCGGTGCGAGAACCCTAAGTGCATGGCAAAATAGAACTGTTTCATCCACAATGCAGAATGTCTTGTGGTACATGGCATTGATGACTGAACATCTCGCCAGCTCGCCCAAATGGGGATCATGCCCAAACGGAGGAACAAGACATCTTTCCAGCTCAGCTAGCTATATAGTATATACCGTGAAACGGATGATTAACTAATGTTACTTGTGCCACGCATGACAGCTTCTGTTCCATTCGGCCCAGGCTTAGACACATCAATGCCAATAGCAGCTGATCCTCCATTACATGCTCATTGGCGATTTACGGCCACCTCCAACTGTATCCGCCGTCCCTCAGCTTCCGTCTTCGCAGATCTGGCTCGGCGCAGTACATTTTCTCGGCTAGGCTCAAAGAAGTCCCACAGAGCGGTCCAAACACCTGAAGGCAAACCAGTCAGAAACTGGAGCGGCTCAGAGTCTTTCTTTATGTTATTGTACGTAAGCTGTTTTTCGGCTTTCTTCACCCCATCGTCCAACTGCTCCACGAGACTCTGTACACGAGCTCTACTTGCTGCCAACTCCTGATGCAGATGCTGCACTTCCATTACAGGCCCCAACTGCACTAAGCCAGGTTCCTTTCCAACTCAAAATGCCGTTGCCTCTCAGCAAAATACTGGTTTGTGAGCATGGGGAGCTCGTGATGCAGACGCTGCACTTCCATGATCGAACTGCACTAGGCTCAGCAAATACTGTTTGCGAGCATGGGGAGCAGAGCGTCCAGACTCCACTCTCTTGCGAAAAGCAAACCTGGTACCGTAGGACAGCTGTTTGGTTTCCTGGACTCATCCTGCCCTTGGCTTAGGCCTTGTAGAGCTGGGCAAAACGATTTCGACTTCGGGATCGAAATGATCGCTGCAACTCAAATATTCAGAGTGACCCTAAAACTACGTCCTTCCTCACGGGGAATAGCCTGGATCCGCTTGCTCCAGGCCGCTGTGGCTCCACACGAGGAAAGGAGTGAAATGACTTGTTTGCTTCGTCCTCCTGTTCTGACAGTGAGGAACGCAGCAATGATCCTGAGGAGGCATCCTGAAGTCGTAAAAAGGAAGATCTAAACAAAAACAAAACAGCTCAAATCAAAAGTTCTTGTGTCATTTTTTGTAGACAGGCTTGCACTGCGTGTAGATTTCGCGTGCTCTGCACTTCGCATGCGAGAAGTCACGCACAGCCGAGGTGAGGTTGGTCGCGTGTGTGCAGCAGGATCCCACGCGACTGCGGAGTTGCCCCCTTGCTCGAACCCAGACAATAATAAGGGGATCGGTCTATTCGCCTGGCCAAGCCCCAACGAGCCCTGCAGGCGAGCACCAGGATGAATGTGACTCCGCTGCGGACCCACCGCAATCGCCAGGAGAGCGCACTTGGCAAAGGTACAACGTCATAATTATAGGATGAATTATTTCCCTTGAATGACTACTTGCGCAAGAACTTGTTTAAAAAAATAGTTGCAATACTCACCATTCATTTCCTGACAAAACGACCGCCCATCGCATGTAAGCAAGTGCGTGCACATCAGCACCATGGCATGGAGTTTAGATGGGGTCCACCACTAACTGTTGCCAGTGCATGCTCACTTGGCGATTGCTCCCATTTGAATGCGGTGAAACCTGTCTCAGCCGATGGCTGTAGCCTAGGGTCAGTGGACCCTGAAATTATGGTCACGTGCAGGACCTGCGACGGAGGCAGTTTTTGATTGGTCCAGCTATACCATGGCCTTGCATACAGTTTGTGCATGATATAGAGGGTACTATACACATGATATAGAGGGTACCATAAGCCTTTTGCGCGTTGTACAGATGCACGAAATCCCGTAGAATCCCGTAGAACCTAATGGGTGTTGAATGTGCAGGACCCTATTGTGTTTTCTGCTATTTCCACTAAGAAATGGGCCCTGAAAGCATTTCAAACGAAAACCTTTTCTGACAAAGATCTAGCTAGTCATTAGTTCTAACCAAAGTGAAGAAGCTGGAAAAGGGATTAATTATTATGAGGCTAAAATTGGTCAAATGCGCATGCATAGCACACAATGAACACCCAATCGGTTCTGTACACACCTACACCCTAGTACTGCACTTCGTACATCTGTACAACGCGCAAAAGGCTTATACACATGATGTAGAGGGTACTACCGGTATACACATGATGTAGAGGGTACTATACACATGATATAGAGGGTACTATACACATGATGTAGAGGGTACTATACACATGATATAGAGGGTACTATACACATGATGTTGAGGGTACTATACACATGATATAGAGGGTACTATACACATGATGTAGAGGGTACTATACACATGATATAGGGTACTATACACATGATGTAGAGGGTACTATACACATGATGTTGAGGGTACTATACACATGATATAGGGTACTATACACATGATGTAGAGGGTACTATACACATGATGTTGAGGGTACTATACACATGACGTAGAGGGTACTATACACATGATGTAGAGGGTACTATACACATGATGTAGAGGGTACTATACACATGAACTCCTGAGCAGTAAGCACACACTGGCGGGCAAAAAGTTGGTGTGGCCATGGCGTGGCCAACCGGACTTGTTTCTCCGCGGCCTGCCGTGTACTGTTCGTATCCGCTTGGAGCACCGGCTATCGGAACCCAGGGGCACACGCGCACATACCAATATACGCGCATGCCCACACACTGCCATTCCTTTGGTTGCAAAATGCATAGCGGGCGGAGATCTCTTCAATCTAACCGACAATCTGCCATTTTATTGGGAGCTGCCTGTCATTCTTTTTAACAGTGCTCTAATCCAAACAGATCACATGTTCATGCCAACGGGTGAACGCGCATGTGTGTTTGCGTGTGTATGTGTGTGTGTGTGTGCATGCATGTGTATATGTGAGCATGTGCGTGCACATGTGTAAGCTGTGCCAAACAATTTGAGATACCATCTACGCCCTGTCCTGCATTATGATCTGATCAGACCCGATGCAGTTATTTCAGCAATTACCTGACAGTTCTCTAGACCTTGAATCTCAAAGTTGTAACCAAAGTTCCTCTTTCCTGATATAGAACCAAGAATGGACAAGTAGTGCCTGCCGGACAGTGCATGTATACTCATATTACGCATGTATCTTTGTACTGTGGACCCATGCAGGGGAAGCAGTTACTCCGTCATGCCGCCAGACCAGAGGAAGCGCGAGCAGATTCTCCACAGTAAGGCACCCAGTGACCACTCCCATTCTCTATACTGATTGTGCAAAGTGATTTCTACAATGCTGCAAGGCTGGGTTCCAAACATTAATTAAACACAGCTGAATCCATACCAATGCACTCGAGCATGACTTGATATCCTAGTCATGTGTTGATGTTATAAGGCCAAAGGCAAACCTTTGTTTTCTACGCAAAAGAGGCACCACCTGCGATCGTAAAATTAATCAACAGTTTCGTACCACATAGTACCCTGAGGACTGTTGTGCGATTTTCTGTTCGAATGCGTATTCATTGCATTCTTTACAGCTGCGCAGAAAGAAGCTGAATCACTGAGACAGTATCAAGCTGCTCAGAAAGAACGGCAAGGCCAGTTTAGATCTGTAACGCAGCGGCTCGGTAAGATGTTTGATTGCTTTCGCCTCTAAAGCACCCATTTGGCAGCTAGTTTAAAGTGACACTCTTGATGCTTTAGGGTAGAACACTATTGGCTGCAGGTATAGGACTCATTTAATTAAGGTGCTACGTCGACAAACCTCGATATTACTCCACTTCATCCACTGCCAGAAACCATAATTATCTACTTTGTAGCTACCTGTATCAGAGATTGCACGAATATCAGCTATAATGCACTTGGAACTATTGCTAGATGGGCTTTGGACCCAGTATCATCTGAATCAAAGCAGAAACATTCTAGCATGCACAACAGACAGTTCTCACTGTTCTGAAAACAGTGCTTTTTCAAATAATTGGCTTGGTAAAAAGCACTGCTCCCACTGAGTGAGGTACACATAGATTATAGTTTGTCATGATAATTATAATGTCTTTCCACTCATGGTGACCGATATGTATCCTGTTTGACAAGAGACCCAACATAATATGAGCCAGAGCACGCTAAAATATGACCACAGACCAAAAATTCGATTTTCAGTTTTTTGTTCAAAAATGATCAAGCACACCTAATGTTCACTGTCTAAACGCTTTGGATTGATCTGACATGTCTAAGTGTTGCTACAATGGAATTATATGCAGCACTGTTGAAATGGTGAAATTCTATGTACAGCAATAGGATTGTCACTTTTGCACACAGTTGATATGTCCCTTGGTTCATCCTTTCCGGGTCAGTTCCTCTGTCCAGGGCCTTATAGCATGAGCTGACAGGTACTCAGCCACATCCAAAATTTCTATGGCAGCTGAGCTGGGTGTCCGGAATACCTCCTGTTTGGAGCACCACTGGAGAACCGCCAGCGAAAACACGGTCAACATCTGTAGACGGACGAAGAAGTTGACACTCCACGTCCTCTCCATCACACTCCACCTGTACTTTCAGATATACGATATACACTGCTGCACACAGTCTTCCTCAACATACTCAACGTCGCACTCATATTCCCCACACCAAAGCCCATCTGCACACGGTTTTCTCCGCTCGCCAGAGAGTACTGCTTTCGCTGCCTACTGCTCGTGCTAGCGATGTTCCGCATAAGGGTACTCAAATTATCGACTTGAGCAAGTTGAGGGAGCAGCAGAGTCCATTGATTGTTTTTGCAGTTGCAACCAATACTGGCATTGTCCCGGATATGTGCAGCGATGTCCATTCTGGCCAAATCATCGGCCGACTCACCTCCCAAGTCAGTGTCGATGCCAATCCCTCTGCCAGATTGTCATCAGAGTAGAATTCCTCGTCACTGCAGATCGTGGGACTACCAGCATCAATTCTTTTACGCTTGATGAAAGTGTCGCCCTCAAATGACTCGTCGCGCGCTGTAGCCATCATCGTCTTCCTTCTGTTTCCGACCCGAGTCCTCAAAATATTTTATCCTGCGCATGGAGTGCGAGGATGTCGTCTTCTTCCGCTCCGCAGTACATTACTACTACTAGGCTCTTCCGTCGATACATCGATGACGATCAGTTTTAGGCAACTCAGCGCAACATGGAATACACACTCAAACAAATAAACTTACTTGCAACAAAGAAAATGCATCCGGAACAGTCCAGTCGACCGAGGAGAACAACAACAGCGACTCGCGTTGCACTGCACTTCGTATTTTTTGCCGCGGAATTCAAATCGCGATTTTCTCGACTTTTTCAAAAAAAAGCTGTGGTCATGTTTTAGCGCGCTCTGGCTCATATTTTGCTGACCCTGATTGGCGAGCTACAAGATGTATGGTCCTTCATGAATGTGGACATCCGCTCCCTGTACGAAATGCATGTCGCAAACTTGGAACCATGGGGAAAATACGCGGAGTAAGTCTGTGTTCACGTATGTATTTGCGTATTTACAAGTAGTGTTGTGTGGACATGTTCCCAACCAATGGCAGGCGGTGATGCGGGTCGACACCCTGACATATCGGCTGTACGAAGTGCCCAGCAGCAGAAAGCACGTGTTGATGTGATGACGAAGTCTACAAGAGATCAGGTGGGAAAACATGCAACTGTGTATGTGTTCACCATGCATTCTTAGCTGAATAAGAAATAGGAAAGGTACTATTGTGAAAAAAGAGAAGGACAAAATGTTACGAGTTATGACAAACTGTCCACCAACAACATAACCAGATCTTATACAGTCAGCGAGTGCGACAAAATGGCACAAGACTGACAAGGAGTACTGAGACATTCAGCGACACTTGGCGACATTTGTCGCATTCACTGACTGTATAAGATATGGTTACGTTGGTGGACAGCTAGTCATAACTCGAAACATTTTGTCCTTCTCCTTTTTCACCATAATTTAATTGGCTCACCATCCGAGTTGGAAGGTACTATTTTTCAGCTTAAAAAAAAAACTAAAGTCTTACATGTTTTAAAGTTGGCATCGAATGTCAAGGAAGGGCTGGGGGCTAGAAGACACTCATTGCCACGTCATTACCGTGTGTGCATCAGACTCAATGAAGGGAGCTAGAAGACACTCATTGCCACGTCATTACCATGTGTGCATCAGACTTTGCAATGATATCTCTCATCCCATTCTACACACTGCATAATCACATGTTAGAAGTAGAAGCAGCCCAAAGACCCAAAGAGGTATATTGCATCTAATCTTTTTCAGAATCCTTCACTGTTCTGTCTCTGCTTCAGGCTAGGAGAGAAGAGTATCGTAAGGAAACGCAACGCCAGGAAGATGAGAAGGTACAGAAACACAAGGAGAAGCAGCGCTTGAAGGTAAGCGCTGTCGCCAGCACAAGCGAAAGATGTAACTGGTTACGATCTTGAATGCATTGGCTATCGTGTCTTGGGGAATTATGAGTTGGGGTCGATGCCCTGCCCTGGCTGCCCAAAGCTTGGACCCAATGAATTAGAGGATGCTGAGTATATGACTACAGTCAACTCTGCGTATAACGACACTCAGCCGGGCACCAGAAAAGTGTCCTTATTCGCGAAGTGTTGTTATACCCAAAGTCTCTTTATATGTATACAGGTAGTATGGACTTTTCTCTGGGCATGGAAAGTCTGTCGTTATTCGCGAATTGTCGTTATATCCGCAGTCGTTATTCGCGAATTGTCGTTCTATCCGCAGTCGTTATTAGCGAAGTTGACTGTATATGGTTTGCATTACCTTTGGTTGATTCAAAATGGTGGTAAATACACACCTGGCAATATGGCAGTAAATACATGCCTGCCCACATACGCTCGTTATTTGAATCAACCCTAAGTACAGCTGCATTGGTGTCTTCAATTGCATTACCTTTGTTGATTTTATTCCTTTTTTTTTTAAATCACTTCCAGCATCTAAAATTTTCTCTAACTTAACGTTACTGTCTCTCGTTGGCCTCAAGCGAAGGTCCCTGGTTCGAGTCCTGGTGGTGACAGTCAGTGTTTTCTTCAGACTTTTCCCATCATGGTTCAAGTCCTGCTTGGAAGCGGAAGGATTTTTTCCAGCCGTGCTGCGACCCACAGTTAATTGGGAACTCGTGGCCTGGCACGAGGGAAACATGGATGCAGTGAATGGGATTTCGGTCTTTGACCACTTTGTGGTGGGTCTGATCTACTCACCTCCCACCGTTTAGGAGCTGCATCTGCGCCTTGATCCAAGAGGGTGGTGGCGTTCCTGCAGATGCGGAAAACTGGGCCTTTGGCCGAGTCTCACGCGAACCGTGAAATTTTTTTTTTTTTTTTTTTTTTTTCCCATCTTTTCCTCAAACCAATGTACTTGCTGTCTGTTGTTGATTCACACAGGCACGTGATATGGAGCTACGAGAGAAGGAGAGGGCATTGATGTGCCAACACAGCACGCGGCAGTGAGTATAGCTGGGCACTTCAATGATTGTAGACCAAACATCGTGCGTTCATTTAGGCTTGCTGCATCCGTAAGCCAAACCTTGGCATACTCCGTGTACGACCAGCATTCACACTGAGCCAAGCTTCAGCTTAGGATGGAAAAATCGCGAATCCAGTGTGAGGCTCACTCAGTGTTTCCTGCATCCGTTTGCTCAAGGATCGAGACACTGAAGGAAGTTGCTGATAATTGCAGTAGTAGAAGTCGTTTACAGTTCATACTCATGCTGTATATTGTCATGTGTATCATCGTGTATCTGCGCTGCAGGCATTGGGAGAGTCAGCACATGCAGGTATATCCCTACCAGGATGACCAAGGGCAAGGTAGGCTCAGGATCATAACGAGAAAATAATCATGTATATTGACTATGACTATGACTATCTGCAAGACAGACTTGAAGTGGGCTCAGTAGTCAGTACAAGCATCATGTTATTATTGAACAGCTGTTTTTGTGAGATTGTAGGAACACCCGGCTTTACATTGGCTCGTTCTGATGATCCTCTCATCGTGTGTGCCATGGGTGTTGCATGCATAGGTGGCGCTCAAGCTGCTTCTGCACCCGGCAGGACAACAGCCGGCCGATCCCAATTCCCGTCACAACATGTAGGTGCATATCATGAATTCTTGTGCGGCTTTTACACCGACACGTTAGGCTAGTGCTACCTTTGATGTCAGTCGGACACGCTACGGCCACTACTGTATTGACCGTAACACTCTTTGCCCCAGGTACTTCATATGTCAATAAAATGAGCTCATTTGGGCTCTAAATTTTCAGGGGAGCGACCCCAACCCCATAAGTCAGGTGGATGACTGTACCATCTTAAAATACCTTCCGACGCCCCTACTTGTCAATCGGAGCACATATAGTGCCTCAGTGGCGAAGGTGGAACGACTCGATTTAGAGCATTTGGCAGAAGTGCTGAAACTAATTTTGCTGCATCCATGTAGTCCCTGTGCCAGGCCATGCATTCCAGAATGACTGTGTTATATACAGTTGCGCTCACCGAAATCCGACCCATAGTGTAAAGCTGGCGCCCTGGACCAGTTCCGATTACATCATTGTATGTGTACATGTGTACGTCCAGCCGCATTCATTCCACTGCCAGGGCGTCAATGGCCGTGGAAGTTGAGGGTGCCAGTTTTGCACATCGGGTCGGATTTCAGTGAGCGTAACTGTACGTCATGTATACTTCTTTTGAAAGTGTCATGGTAACGTACTGCTGTCTGAATTGTTCGCCTACTGATTCCAGACGAAATATCGTCAGCACAAGGAAGAAAAGCGGAAAGCTGAAGAGGAAGAGTATGAACGGCATAAGGCATCTCAGCGGCAAAAGGTAAGTTCTATTGTGAGTTCACCATGGTTACGAAGTCTTCAGTATTACTGCGATTTATATTCAACTGCAACAATGAACCACCACGAGTGTCTACTCAGTCTTTAGTGCCTAGATATACCCAAAGCATTCTCTTTAGTTGTTTTGGCAAACCACAACATGCATTGCATAGTGGCACTGTCGATTTTGAAAGGGAGCGGCCGAAACATGAATGGTCGTGTAGTGCCATGCTGTGCGCTCACATGTACACACATGCACACACGCACTCATGCGCGCACACATTCTCTCTCTCTCTCCCTCTCTCTCTCTCTCTCACATACCGCACTGGGTACGAAAGCTACTTCGACCATTCTAACGTATGCAGCTGGCTGCATGTTTTGACTCCGTGCTGTCTACTACAGAAAACCAGTCTGTCTGTATTTACATTGGATGCATCACACTCTAGTCACTATAGTTCAGTACTGTCGGGCCCCGAAGAACGGAGCGCCGAAGAACGGCCAGGCTAGAATTTCACCAAGCACAGTGTACCCTGAGTGTATGCACAGTGACTCCAGTCCACTGTGCACGGACTGTAATGCATGAAAACGAGAGAGCTTGGAAGCTCAGGGCCCTACGCTATGCTTTTTTGCCTTGATGACCTAGACAAAAAAAAGCATAGGGATGTTATAAATTCTTTAAAAAATTCCTTTTTTTTATGACATAACCTGGGATTCGAACCCGCACTATCGCGCTCCCTGCATGCATCCCCCGATACACTTCGCATACATACTAATTCTTCCAAGTTGTTTCACATTGTGATCTTGCATTTGAAAGCCCTATTTGAATATGCATTGTGGCCAGCCGTCTTTGATGGCACGGTACGGTAGGGGATAGGTACGGGACAGGTACGATCGAGGGTAATACGACATCGTCTCCCGTACCGTACCGTACCATCAAACACAGCTGGCCACATACAGCTGCCCGCAATATTCAAATAGGGCTTTCAAACGCAAGATAATAACGTAAAGCAACTTGGAAGAATGGGTATGAATGCGAAGTGTATGGGGGAATGCATGTAGGGCGATAGTGCGGGTTCGAATCTCAGGATATGCCTGAAAAAAAGGAGAATTGAAAAATTTATAACATCCTATGTTTTTTTGCCCTCAGATACGGATAGCGCCAGGCGTGACACAAACAAACACACAAACAAACACCAAATTAAAGCTGTGTGGACCCTGGCTAGCGCCAGACGTTACTGAAGTAACGTCTTCTGCATAGCTACGGGAATAAAAACGGTCTAGGCTAGGAGGCTTACCCCTCTCCCCCCCCCCCCCCACACACACACACAGTTCTTCGACAACCGACAGCAGGGGCGTGCTCGGCCCCCCAACTAGGGGGGTGCACGGGAGCCGAGGGGAGCCCCCCGGCAATTTTCTGCAATTTGCTTGCAACCTTTCTTGAATTTTAGAGCATATTCGCATACATTACAATTGCCTTGGATCCCAGCAGACACGACCTTTTTGAACTGGCCCTGCCTGGCAACGGCGTCTTTGTGGGTTGCCTGTGAGCCGTGTTTGTCCAGCAAAGTGGTGGCCTTTTTGAAGTTGGACATAGGTCTTGCTGTGAGCTGTCCCTGATCCGCACCACTGGGAAATACGAGGCACGGAAGACAGAAACCCCCGTCGCATTTGGGTGAATAGACCAGCCACGTGTTGTCCTCTAGCCACTGGTGACGAAAACGACGGTTTCTGCCATCATTTCCTGTGTGGACAGGAAAGTCGTGTTTCGGCCCTGGCACAAAGTGGTGGTCGACCAAGCGACACTTCTCATCAGAGGACAACGATGACGGCAAACAGGTCCACTTTTGTGATGCAAGGTTGTAGCCTTCTCCAATGTCGTTTGGAGTGCCGCCTGAAGCGACTACATCAACCTCGTCGGGTTTATCCACCGCGGTAGACCCGGCAGCCTGGGCTACTTCTCCTGCGACCTCTTCAACTACTACCACTTCGTCTGACTCTTCACCTCTTGAAGAACCCTCATCGCCACTCGAGGAAATATTATCAGATTTTTTCGCTGCAGCAACAGCTCCCGCAGCAACAGTTGCAGAACGACCGAACGCTTTACTTAGAGTTAGCTGCGGCAGCGTGGAAGCTTTGCGCAATGACTTCAATGACGGCGGTCGATTTGACATTATGAAAAGAGCAGCTCAGTCATAGTCAGATACCCATACTTCAGGAAAGAAATCAAAGAATCCAGAGACCTGAAAGCAAGAAATCGAAACCGGGAAAGAATCCGACTGTCGCAAGGTAATGTTTATGCTGTGCACAGTGTAGATCTACGTGCAAAATTATTGTTCGCGCTGCACGTGTACGTGTACATGAAGGCCGTTTGCATGTGTACGTGTCACATCCGAGGTGCAGTATTATTTTTTTCAAAACCCAGATTGAAAATTTGGGGGGGGGTGCACGTGCCCCCCGTGCCCCCCCCCCCCGCCGAGCACGCGCCTGGACAGTGCTGTACACACTGTGGATAGACTGGCTATGGAGCCAGGGCAAACAAGTACCTAGTAGAGCTACCCGTTGGTCTGATCACTGTTATCGCAGTTCACTGTCTTTCTGTTTACATCATTGCCTACCTACCCTATAGGGCGAGTACTTGCAGAAGAAGGCGGAAGAGGAAGCACAGCGACATCGCGATGAAGTCAGAAGGTAGGGATCTCTGGATGTGCGGACATGACAGATGAAAACGTCTGCCAGGCAGCAATATGCTTTGTCTCCAAGCTACATATGCTTTGTCTCCAAGCTACATATGCTTTGTCTCCAAGCTACATATGCTTTGTCTCCAAGCTACATATGCTTTGTCTCCAAGCTACATATGCTTTGTCTCCAAGCTACATATGCTTTGTCTCCAAGCTACATATGCTTTGTCTCCAAGCTACATATGCTTTGTCTCCAAGCTACATATGCTTTGTCTCCAAGCTACATATGCTTTGTCTCCAAGCTACATATGCTTTGTCTCCAAGCTACATATGCTTTGTCTCCAAGCTACATATGCTTTGTCTCCAAGCTACATATGCTTTGTCTCCAAGCTACATATGCTTTGTCTCCAAGCTACATATGCTTTGTCTCCAAGCTACATATGCTTTGTCTCCAAGCTACATATGCTTTGTCTCCAAGCTACATATGCTTTGTCTCCAAGCTACATATGCTTTGTCTCCAAGCTACATATGCTTTGTCTCCAAGCTACATATGCTTTGTCTCCAAGCTACATATGCTTTGTCTCCAAGCTACATATGCTTTGTCTCCAAGCTACATATGCTTTGTCTCCAAGCTACATATGCTTTGTCTCCAAGCTAAATATGCGAAAAATAGTAGAATTATGTGCTTTAAAGCTACGACTGTTAACTGTTATTAGGGATCACCTGATCAGAAACCGGTCAGCCCGGGAATCAAACCCTGTTACACCTTCAACCCCTTCTGACTTATTTCCACACATCAATGTTTTGAGGATGAGTTTCTGTTCATCCTGTAGAGGCTGCTGGGCTCTGGTTTCACTGCAAGTCTACTCACCGGGTCGACCTCTTCTGTGGCATCCCCAATACAGTGCAGCATCCTTACACAGTTATCAAAGAATCAAAAGGAGTTAATAATTGAAGAGACCTATCCCCATCTCTCCGCTTCCCCCCCCCCCCCCCACACACACACACCTCCCACCCCGAAAATGAGGCTCATAGCATAACTGGCAAGAAAAATCTGGTTTGAGTCTTCATGGTATGATGGTATCATTCAATATTATCTTTCTGCAGAATTTTCCGCTTCCATTGCATCAAGCTAATGATTACAAGGAACTGGCCACCAGTTTGGAAATCACAGTCGTGACCTTTGCAACGCCTGCCACACCGACTCAGATCGCCCTGGTAATGTAGCGTTGGTCTGAGTTCCAGTTTAAAGGAAGCTCCAGTATAGATGAAGATTCTCTCCCCTCCCTTGGCCCTGGCCCAGACCGTATGTAGACTATCCCTGGTGCTGGTGGGTTGCATGACCTAGGTAGTGCTCACAATGTACGGGATGAAGGTTCCGTGATTCTAATTCTGTGTGTGTGTGTGCTTATGTATGTGGCTGTGTTGCTGTGTGTGTACATGGTATGTGTGTGTATGTGCATGTGTGTGTGTGTGTGTGTGTGTGTGTGTGTGTGTGTGTGTGTGTGTGTGTGTGTGTATGTGTGTGTGTGTGTGTGTGTGCTCTCGCACATGTATATGTATTGGTTGATCGGCACAGCATGTGGGCTGATAGAAGGTATGATGGCCAGCAGACTGAAGGAGTGTCTAGACAGCATTACCGTGACGACCACCATGAACCGGCCTACAAGCAGGAGCACTATTTGGATAGATTTGGAGAGGACGGTAGCCAAAGTCCTGCATCACACCTGGAAACCATGCCTTTGAGATCCGCAATTCGAACGACGAGCTCGTATCCAGATGATGTGCCTTCTTCGAGCATTTGTGGAGCTGTAGATGACAAGTATGATCAGACACACAGTGTCGCAGATGATGCAACATTGGAGTGGTCAAGTAACAGAAGGCCACAAAGCAGATCGGAGGCCTCCAGTACCAAGTACAGCGCAAAGCACCTCACCGAATGCCAGGCCACCCTGGTCAGCCTTGGCTTGCCGAGACTGTCCCTCACCGAACTGGATATTCTGCTGAAATCACACAATGGAGACCTGGACAGGCTGGCTAATAACTTGTTTGAAAAGCATGCATGAATGAAAGGGGAAATACGAATGTGTTGATTGTGTGGCGGATTGCACTAGCAATCTGAGCATACTGCCGAAGTACGTGAGTTGTATTTTGCAGAATTCTTGCATCACTTTAGAGCTTTCTATTTTAAAGACCATTAAACTTTCTCATCTGTTACGTTACGTTGAGTAATTCATGTACAGTCGTCCCTCTCTAATCCGGCACTTGTTTATCCGGAACACTTGCCAACCGGCGCACTTTCTGACGAAACCGATTTTTTCGTTCAATTCCTACATCTTAATCCGGCACTTGAATTCCGCCTCCGGCAGTGACTTTTTGAAACGAATCGCTC